GAATTTTTTAAGCTTTGATTGGTCGAAAAAATTGTAGTAAAAAAATGTAGACAAATATTGACTCAAAGAATGCTATTCTAATTTAAGTCAGAAAATTTTTACGTTATGAAGGAGTCATTTCCGAGTATGCAGTTTTATTACCCTGATAGTAAACAACACAGGGCCGTTTTCCGAAATAAAATTAAAACGTTTTTGGCCAAGTTATGAATTTTTTAAGCTTTGATTGGTCGAAAAAATTGTAGTAAAAAAATGTAGACAAATATTGACTCAAAGAATGCTATTCTAATTTAAGTCAGAAAATTTTTACGTTATGAAGGAGTCATTTCCGAGTATGCAGTTTTATTACCCTGATAGTAAACAACATAGGGCCGTTTTCCGAAATAAAATTAAAAAAATTGTAGTAAAAAAATGTAGACAAATATTGACTCAAAGAATGCTATTCTAATTTAAGTCAGAAAATTTTTACGTTATGAAGGAGTCATTTCCGAGTATGCAGTTTTATTACCCTGATAGTAAACAACATAGGGCCGTTTTCCGAAATAAAATTAAAACGTTTTTGGCTAAGTTATGAATTTTTTAAGCTTTGATTGGTCGAAAAAATTGTAGTAAAAAAATGTAGACAAATATTGACTCAAAGAATGGTATTCTAATTTAAGTCAGAAAATTTTTACGTTATGAAGGAGTCATTTCCGAGTATGCAGTTTTATTACCCTGATAGTAAACAACATAGGGCCGTTTTCCGAAATAAAATTAAAACGTTTTTGGCTAAGTTATGAATTTTTTAAACTTTGATTGGTCGAAAAAATTGTAGTAAAAAAATGTAGACAAATATTGACTCAAAGAATGGTATTCTAATTTAAGTCAGAAAATTTTTACGTTATGAAGGAGTCATTTCCGAGTATGCAGTTTTATTACCCTGATAGTAAACAACATAGGGCCGTTTTCCGAAATAAAATTAAAACGTTTTTGGCTAAGTTATGAATTTTTTAAGCTTTGATTGGTCGAAAAAATTGTAGTAAAAAATGTAGACAAATATTGACTCAAAGAATGGTATTCTAATTTAAGTCAGAAAATTTTTACGTTTGAAGGAGTCATTTCCGAGTATGCAGTTTTATTACCCTGATAGTAAACAACATAGGGCCGTTTTCCGAAATAAAATTAAAACGTTTTTGGCTAAGTTATGAATTTTTTAAGCTTTGATTGGTCGAAAAAAATGTATAAAAATGATGTCGAATTTTGACCAAAAGAATGTTATTCTAAATTTAGTCCGAAGTTTCTTACGCTATGAAGGAGTCATTTCCGAGTATGCAGTTTTATTACCCTGATAGTAAACAACATAGGGCCGTTTTCCGAAATAAAATTAAAACGTTTTTGGCTAAGTTATGAATTTTTTAAGCTTTGATTGGTCGAAAAAAATGTATAAAAATGATGTCGAATTTTGACCAAAAGAATGTTATTCTAAATTTAGTCCGAAGCTTCTTACGCTATGAAGGAATCATTTCCGACCCTATAAATCATATATATTCTTGATCAGCATGATCAGCCGAGTCGATTGAGCCGTCTCCGGCCAAAATATATTTTTTTTCCAAATCTCCGAAAATTTAAAAATTTTATAAGGGGTTACATCATTAAAATTGCCAAAGATTGGAAAACAAATCGAATCTCTTAAAATGTTAAATTGAGTATGCAGTTCTTTTAAGCTGATAAAAACTAGCATTGAAACGCTTTCCGAATTGAAATTAAAGCGTTTTTGGCTAAGTTATGAATTTTTTAAACTTTGGTCGAAAAAATTGTAGTAAAAAAATGTAGACAAATATTGACTCAAAGAATGGTATTCTAATTTAAGTCAGAAAATTTTTACGTTATGAAGGAGTCATTTCCGAGTATGCAGTTTTATTACCCTGATAGTAAACAACATAGGGCCGTTTTCCGAAATAAAATTAAAACGTTTTTGGCTAAGTTATGCATTTTTTAAGCTTTGATTGGTCGAAAAAAATGTATAAAAATGATGTCGAATTTTGACCAAAAGAATGTTATTCTAAATTTAGTCCGAAGCTTCTTACGCTATGAAGGAGTCATTTCCGAGTATGCAGTTTTATTACCCTGATAGTAAACATAGGGCCGTTTTCCGAAATAAAATTAAAACGTTTTTGGCTAAGTTATGAATTTTTTAAACTTTGGTCGAAAAAATTGTAGTAAAAAAATGTAGACAAATATTGACTCAAAGAATGGTATTCTAATTTAAGTCAGAAAATTTTTACGTTATGAAGGAGTCATTTCCGAGTATGCAGTTTTATTACCCTGATAGTAAACAACATAGGGCCGTTTTCCGAAATAAAATTAAAATGTTTTTGGCTAAGTTATGAATTTTTTAAACTTTGATTGGTCGAAAAAATTGTAGTAAAAAAATGTAGACAAATATTGAGTCAAAGAAAGGTATTCTAATTTAAGTCAGAAAATTTTTACGTTATGAAGGAGTCATTTCCGAGTATGCAGTTTTATTACCCTGATAGTAAACAACATAGGGCCGTTTTCCGAAATAAAATTAAAACGTTTTTGGCTAAGTTATGAATTTTTAAGCTTTGATTGGTCGAAAAAAATGTATAAAAATGATGTCGAATTTTGACCAAAAGAATGTTATTCTAAATTTAGTCCGAAGCTTCTTACGCTATGAAGGAATCATTTCCGACCCTATAAATCATATATATTCTTGATCAGCATGATCAGCCGAGTCGATTGAGCCGTCTCCGGCCAAAATCTATTTTTTTTCCAAATCTCCGAAAATTTAAAAATTTTATAAGGGTTACATCATTAAAATTGCCAAAAATTGGAAAAAAATCGAATCTCTTAAAATGTTAAATTGAGTATGCAGTTCTTTTAAGCTGATAAAACTAGCATTGAAACGCTTTCCGAACTGAAATTAAAGCGTTTTTGGCTAAGTTATGAATTTTTTAAACTTTGATTGGTCGAAAAATTTTAGTAAAAAATGTAGACAAATATTGACTCAAAGAAAAGTATTCTAATTTAAATCAGAAAATTTTTACGTTATGAAGGAGTCATTTCCGAGTATGCAGTTTTATTACCCTGATAGTAAACAACATAGGGCCGTTTTCCGAAATAAAATTAAAATGTTTTTGGCTAAGTTATGAATTTTTTAAACTTTGATTGGTCGAAAAAATTGTAGTAAAAAAATGTAGACAAATATTGACTCAAAGAAAGGTATTCTAATTTAAGTCAGAAAATTTTTACGTTATGAAGGAATCATTTCCGAGTATGCAGTTTTATTACCCTGATAGCAAACAACATAGGGCCTTTTTCCGAAATAAAATTAAAACGTTTTTGGCTAAGTTATGAATTTTTTAAGCTTTAATTGGTCGAAAAAAATGTATAAAAATGATGTCGAATTTTGACCAAAAGAATGTTATTCTAAATTTAGTCCGAAGCTTCTTACGCTATGAAGGAATCATTTCCGACCCTATAAATCATATATATTCTTGATCAGCATGATCAGCCGAGTCGATTGAGCCGTCTCCGGCCAAAATCTATTTTTTTTTCCAAATCTCCGAAAATTTAAAAATTTTATAAGGGGTTACATCATTAAAATTGCCAAAAATTGGAAAAAAAATCGAAACTCTTAAAATGTTAAATTGAGTATGCAGTTTTTTTAAGCTGATAAAAACTAGCATTGAAACGCTTTCCGAACTGAAATTAAAGCGTTTTTGGCTAAGTTATGAATTTTTTAAACTTTGATTGGTCGAAAAATTTTAGTAAAAAATGTAGACAAATATTGACTCAAAGAAAAGTATTCTAATTTAAATCAGAAAATTTTTACGTTATGAAGGAGTCATTTCCGAGTATGCAGTTTTATTACCCTGATAGTAAACAACATAGGGCCGTTTTCCGAAATAAAATTAAAATGTTTTTGGCTAAGTTATGAATTTTTTAAACTTTGATTGGTCGAAAAAATTGTAGTAAAAAAATGTAGACAAATATTGACTCAAAGAAAGGTATTCTAATTTAAGTCAGAAAATTTTTACGTTATGAAGGAATCATTTCCGAGTATGCAGTTTTATTACCCTGATAGCAAACAACATAGGGCCTTTTTCCGAAATAAAATTAAAACGTTTTTGGCTAAGTTATGAATTTTTTAAGCTTTAATTGGTCGAAAAAAATGTATAAAAATGATGTCGAATTTTGACCAAAAGAATGTTATTCTAAATTTAGTCCGAAGCTTCTTACGCTATGAAGGAATCATTTCCGACCCTATAAATCATATATATTCTTGATCAGCATGATCAGCCGAGTCGATTGAGCCGTCTCCGGCCAAAATCTATTTTTTTTTCCAAATCTCCGAAAATTTAAAAATTTTATAAGGGGTTACATCATTAAAATTGCAAAAAATTGGAAAAAAATCGAATCTCTTAAAATGGTAAATTGAGTATGCAGTTCTTTTAAGCTGATAAAAACTAGCATTGAAACGCTTTCCGAATTGAAATTAAAGCGTTTTTGGCTAAGTTATGAATTTTTTAAGCTTTGATTGGTCGAAAAAAATGTAGACAAATATTGACTCAAAGAATGGTATTATAATTTTAGTCAGAAGCTTGTAGAACTGCAAGCAACTAATTTCCGACTAAATTAAATATGCAGTTTTATTGCTATAAAAACCACTATCATTGGACAGGTTTCCCAATTGAAAGTGATGCATTTTTGGCTTAGTTATGAATTTTTTAAAATTTGATTTACTGACAAAATTGTCATATAATATAAATATCGACTGCAAGAATGGTATTATAGTTTTAGTTAGAGGCTTGTTAAACTATTAAGGTGTCATTTCCGACCCCATAAATAATATAATATTGAAATTTAAATTAATGCAGATTTTTAAATAAATTTTCTAACCCAAAGACCAAAAAGCCAATGATTGCGAAGTTATATTTATTACGACTTGCAATCAAAATCATAATCAATAAAGAATAGCCAGCATAGAGAAGCTTTTTAAATTGATATTAACGCATCTTTGGCTTTCGATTTATTTCAAATTCGAGCCCATGATCCTTTGGGTAACTGGCAGAGTATACACAGTTTTTGGGTTAAGAAATAAATGCGAATCCGTGCCATTGTTTGCGGGCATTTTCCACGCTGACCCACCCCGCCGAAGGATGTTGTTGCCGGGTCATAAAGGAGGCCGCAGGACAATTTGCGGGATACGCATGTCACTCGGATTTTTTCAGGTCGTTTCCTCGGATCGAAGTGCAGGAGGACTCATTGAAGCCGCATTAAGCGCGCCTCATTTGATGCGAGGCACTGGGCCAGGATCCTTTGATGCCGCATTGTCCCCTCAAGTGGCCACTCCTAAATAGGTTCGGATGGATTTCGATTTCGCCACATTGTCCTGCTCGGCATTATTGTGGCAACACACGCCTTTGTGGCATGCACCATATATTAAATAGTTAATCGTTTTTGCCCCTAGCTGCAGCTGCAGCCTTGATTTGTCCGCTGATCCGTCAATGATGTGTGAAGAGTCACCGGAGTCACACTCGAGTCTGTCAGCGCCGAAGTTCCTGTCACTCAAATCCTGCTGGTATCCTTGGTATGTCCTAACCTATCAGTCAATTAAGGGAAGAAGGTTATATGAAGGAAGTGGCATTTTTCTATAAATCATATGTTCTTGGCGTATTCCTGATTTCCGTGATATGTATCCTGGGCTCCCCTTTCATTTACATAGAACAAATTCAGTAACGAAACATATAACGAATTAACCAATTGGTGAATTTGCCTGGGTTAGCGGAACAGGATTAAATAAGATCCTGGTCAGAGTCACTGGAGTTCATCGAGACGATCAAGTCCAGTTCTTCGGTTACTGGATCATTTTCGGCGATGACCTCCTGTTCTGTCTCATCCTGGGATTGGGTTGTTTGCTCCTCTCTGATCGGATTTGTCGTTTGCCCCTCCGAAAGTACTCCAGTGTAGGATCCACGGGCAGCTTCAAAAATGCCGTCCATGAAACGCCCGAAAAGATCCATGGCCCTCATCTGCTGTATGTGGAGAGATGATGCGTACGCCATGTTCCGGCGTCGAGTTCTAGTCCTCCTTGTTACGCCACCTCCTCCAGAGACTCCACGGTTCCTCTCTGAGGGGGTGCGTAATTTAGTGTTCAGCAGCATTGCTGCTTTGGCAATCAGTCTTACCATATCTCAGCCTTGGAAGGTTGGTCATTCGTCCCCGTTCACGCTGCTCCACCAACTCGGCATCTCGAGCCTCCGCAGCCGCCTGAGCAGCCTCCTTGCGAACGCGAATCCTCTCGCTCCTTCTGACCGGTTCGAAAGGCCGCGGGAATTTGCGGGGTGGCATTCCTTAAAATTATATAATATTCAACAAAAAATAATTTTTAACACAACTTGAAAAATTTCGATAAAAAAATATAAAGAACTTTTGAACTGAACAAATTTGTATACGGATAAATGATTTTAATCATTGAAGTTACTACACGTCCGTGCTATTGAGTGCCGGTCTGGGTTTGAAATGAGCTCGAAGCGTTGATCCACCAGACACCTAAAAGTATGAGCCTACTAGGTGGGATTTTGTATGAAAATTCCCAAGTTTCCGTTATCTAATAGAGTGATCCAATAAACTATTTAAACCTTTAAATATTTTTACATAAACTCTAGGCAGCAGCTCACCCCCAAAGAAGACAACTCCATTAGCTTTATTTGTATGCAAAAAGTTAAAAATCTGCATTAACAAATTGACACCGTATAATATCCGCTTGAATTTGAAATTAGTTTGCAGCGAATGCGAATTTGCCAAACCTCAATCTCTGGGATCTCTCGAAAGGATTCGCACATTTATTCACGCGCATATTGAATTACAACGGCAACAATGGGATCTGCATCAGATTTGGCAAAATAAATTTGCATAATACCTTTGTCCCTCGGCACCCAAGGATAACACGAAGTGAGCAGCAAAGTCAGCGACTCCAAAGAGTCCTTTCTCCTCATTTGCATGCGAGGGTTCAGCTTCGGGTTTCGAGGGCTAATCAAACATTAAAGGACCAAGGACAGGAAACACACGCTCTGTTGTGATTTATGGCTGGAAATTAACATAAATGAAATCAAAACATTTTAAATGTTTTCATTTAGCCAGGGGTTAGCCGTGAGGCGGCTGCTGCACTCGAATTATATATGCAAATATCGCTTGAAACAGAGTCATTCCTGTGCGAATATCCTTGTGAAGGTCGCACGCGACTGCGGCACACTTCCCGTCCGACATGACAACTAATGGGCGTTTTGTTTATGGTCGATCTCAAACCCCCATTAGGGTCGAGGTCGAGTACCAGCCAGCCACCCCTTCCCGCCACCCTTTACCATTGTTTCTTTTTTTATAATTTTAATTATTTATAATCGGTTTAAAGAAAAAAAAAAGGATTCAAATAATATCCCAATGCCTGAGTGGCCTCTGACAGCAGCTAAGCCCCTTAATCGACCCTTGATTTGATTGCCAGTGGAAATTAAATTTGAAATATAATTTTAATAGGCCCTAAGAGCGAGGGAAATAAAGTTTTTCGGACTGAAAAGGGGTTTCTTTTAATAAACATACAGATATATTGTTCTTATTGGTTATTGCCTTGTAATTTTTACTTTTTATGTATCTAAAATTTTAGGGGATGCCCTTACTGAGGTTTTGACACATCACTGTTTCCATCCACAGCATTTTCTTATGGATTTTTAATAGAAGAACGCGTTGTCTTGGCTCTCGGAGACAGTTTTTCAAAGTTTTCAGCTCTCAAGGATATCGCTGCTCCATGCACCAACCTTCTGCTTCTTTCTGAGCTTCTTTTGGGCCACCGAAGAGATCAGAATTGTAAGCAAATTATTATATGTATTTAATATAATTCATTACCTCTGCCACCTGGATCTGGATACCAACCAGAAACGCTTTTAATGATAACCAACTATACCTAATTTAATTTAAATTTCCTTATAAATTTTAAATTTATATTTTGAAAAATCAAAGTAGTTGTTTGGAAACTAAAATAATAATGTAAATAGGCATACTTTGTTTCAGTTTTCTTTTCAAAAAATGTTTATTACTACACAAAAGTTCATAAATAGGTGGGCAGTGTGGCTTAACACTCTAGAGGCTTATCTCGCTTATGGTTATTTTGTATAATTATTATTGGTCTTACGTAGACTAAAACTTTGGAATAGCTGGGAAACAAGTACGGGGAGTACAAACTAGAAACGTTCAACTCAATATCTCATATCTCATAGGTTACATACTAATAGAGCCAACAAGCAATGGGAACATGTGAATGGAAATCAACTAAAGACTAGAACAACGCTTGAGTGGTGGCTGTCAAGGAGGAGGAGATCCGGAGATCCGTAGATCCGGAGATCTGCAGATCCCCTTAGCAGTAGACGGGATCGGTGCTGCTGGCAGTTGGTGGTGGTTGGTGGTAGGTGGCGTCCATCTGGATGTTCCACACATTGTCCACTCCCGAGTTGCTGTAGTAGTAGTCCGCCGGTGATTGCTGCTGCTCCTGTTGCTGGTAACTGCTCGGCGCCAGGAAGTTGGTGCTGGGCTGTTGGTAGGCGGCCACTCCTTCGTCGTAGAGCAGATCCACTGCGGTGGAGGTCGTTCCTCCAACTCCCCCATTCAGCGTGGACTCGAACACACTGAAGATCTCCGAGCTGGTTGTGTAGAAGCCGCTGTCCTGCTGACTGGCTGCCTGACTGCCCCCACTCACGTCCAGGGAGTGGGTCGGGGCCAGGTATCCGTTGAAGTATCCATAATCCTCGGAGCTGTAGCCCGAGCTGCTGGTCAGACTGGAGGTATCGTCACAGCTCTCGTACACGGGCATGCCGCACTGGAAGCTGGCGGAGATCGGCTGCTCGTAGCTAGGATTACCACCACTAGCCACCAGATGCGGCTGCTGCTGCTCCTGCTGCTGCTGTTGCTGTTGCTGCTGATGGAGTTGCTGCTGGAGCTGCTGCGGCAGATTCTCCTGGTAGTAACTGCCCGTGGAGCTGTGCGAGGAGAGAGGCGAGTGAAGCATGTCGTAGCCGTACATTCCGGGGTCATAGGTAGCTCCCTCCTGATCGTAGTAGATCTCTCCGTTCCACTGACTGGCGGCAGGAGTAGCCACTGGTCCCGCAGAGCCATAGCCTCCAGCTCCGGCTGCTGTCTGGCCAAAGCTGGTGGCGTGTGTGGGTGTGGACGTGGGCAGATAGCCATTCGAGACTGTCAGCAACTCCTGGCTGCTTGGCATGACCACCTCTTGCCTCTTGCGCTTGCTCTCCTGGATCAGCTGCGTCTTGGCCTGCCGCTTGGTTGGCCTCAGGCTGCTCAGCTTGTCGCTGAGAGCCGATTCCCTGGCCAGCATCACGGCCAAACTGCGCACGCGTCGTCCTCCGGCCAGCAGACGCCTGGCCTCCGTGGAGCCCTTGGCCTCGGGTCGGGGATGATCATGTGTACCCTTGGCCTGGAAGTAGATGCCATTGCCGTCGCGCCGCCAAAAGTGTGTGACCGGATAGCCGCAGTGTCCGCGGCAGGCCTGGATCTCCAAGCGACCGTTGCAGTTTCTGTAGAGATAAATCCAGAGTTAGTTATTGGGTTCTGTGAAATTTTCATGGTAAAGGGAAACCCACCTATTGGGGCATTGTTTGCCCTGCTGCTTCCGCCTGGCCTTGTCACAAATGGCAGGCCTCAAATGGACACTGGCTCCATTGGGGAGCTGGCACTTGGCACTGCAGAGGAGCACGCCCAGGCAGCTCTTCTTGAGGATGTTCACGTTGTGGTTGTTGGTGTTGCGCATGGCCCAGCCGCTGGCATGCTTGCGAGCCTCGTCGCTCTGGGAAGAGTACACCAACCGGCAGTGGCCATTGGCCCAGTCACTGAAGTCATCGAACTGACCCACCGACGGCATCTTGCTGTCATTGATGTCCCAGTCCAGGGACACACGCGACTTGGTGGCCGGAGGACTGGGCACGGGCACGGGCACGGAAACTGGAACTGGAACAGGCACTGGCACTGGCATGGACATGGTTAAGCAGCCGTTCAAGACCATTGTGTGGGTTTGTGTTTGTTTGTTTTAAAAGATTGATTCACTCGCGAGGGGCTTTCCTATTTCCCTTTCTGTTTATTTCTCTACAAGTTTTTCTGTAACTGAGTTTTCCTTTCGGTTTTCCTGTGGAACGACGCGTCCGTTCGCATCGACTGCGCAAGGCTGACTAACTGGGCCCGGTCTGCGCAGCGCAGTTAAGTTGCCGGCATGCGAAGCGGCCGAGCGAGGAGCGCCGAGGGAGGGTTGCTTCCAACGGCCTGCCATTGGCCAGCCGTTATCCGTTTTATCCGCACTCTGAGACTGAAAACCGGAAAGAGGCCTCGCCGGTTTGATTGGTAGCAGCAGCCAGCAGCTGGAAATGGAGCTGGAACTGGGAGCGGGAACTGGGAGCTGGAGCTGGAGCTGGAGAGTCGCCGCTGCTGCTGCTGCTGTTCCTGCCCTGCTCTAGCACCTGCGGTTGCAGCACGCGCTCCACTGGATAATTGTACGATACAAGAGGAGCCACAGTTCCAACCCCCAGTCAAAGCTAATTAAGTTTGGAAAAAAGTTTACATTGCCGGAGAACGGTTATGGGGGAAGGGGAATGGGAACGGGAATGGTAATGGCACTGGTAATGGTAATGGTAATGGTAATGGGGATCTGGGCATGAGGCCTGCGATGGCTACACCTGGACTGGCAGATGCCAGAGGCCTATTTGCTCTCTTGTCCCAGGAGTTGGAGCTGGAGTTGGAGCTTGCAATTGGATTCGGGAAGGGGATGAGCACACAGAACACGAGCACATGGATGGCTGGAGGGCAAACAAGGGTTCGAAAAACAAAATGGAACTCAGGGGGAGATGTAATATTTTTTAATTCAATTAAAAGGCAGCATCAGCAAAAAATAAAAATAAAATATAAAAATAAGAGCGTATATGTAAGTACCTCTTTAACAATATTTTATAAAAGCCGATATTTATAAACCTTTGCAGTTTGGAATTGAAAATAGAATCGAATCGAAAAACGAATAAAACTTAATTAAAATAATTTTTTAAATAAATTTTTTGTTAAATTTTAACAATTTTAACCCCTTATAAAATTTTTAAAATTTTGAAAAAATTAAATTGCCGCGGGACACGACTAGATCGACTCGGCTGTTGATGCTGATCAATAATATATATGATTTATAGAGTCGGAAATGATTCCTTCACTGGTTTTTAAGCTTCTGACTGAACTTATAACACTCTGCAAGGATATAATAAAAAAAGTAGCAGGCCCTTAAAAATAACTTTAAATTAGCTAAATATTTATAATTTTTTACTAAAAGATGAATCAAGTAAAAATAATAGCTAACTAATCAAATAATTTACTTTTAACCAAATTAAATGAGATCCTAGGAAAATATTTCCCTGAGTAAATATAAATAATACAATTTATCCAAAATAAGTAATAGAAAATTCTACATTATATACAAGACTATATACAATATTCAACCAAGGCCACACAACTTCTCACGATCTCTGCTGGGCGATAAAAAATTAAACGTTTTGCAAAAAAAAACAGAGAGAAACCGAAATGCCTAGAGTCTAGGGATATCTCGACATAGAGATCGAAGATCGTAAAACACAATTTAGCACGCAAAAAAGAAAAAAACTATATTAAAGAAATCCCGTTAAGGAAAACCAACCCCTCTCTCTCGCCAGAAACCCAAACCATAACTCAGGCATATGAATGAGAAGTTGGCAACACACACAACTTGGACCGATCTCGAGTCGGAGATAAGCCAAACAAACACAATCATTAAGAGGCTGCCGAAAGGGGTGGAGGACTCTCTGAGGAAACTCCATAATTTTCACACTTCCTCCGAAAGCCGAAAGCCGAAAGCCATGCAATTATGACACGAACTGTGAGCGAGCAACCCGCGGCGCCTTTCTGGCAAGGAGTCGGCCGAGGAGTCCAGGACCGAGGATCGAGGATCGTAGCACGCGATAGCAGCTCAAAGGATTACAATGGGAAAGGGTGCGCCGTCTCAGAAGGATTCGTGGGGCGTTGACACGGAAGAAAGTCATGACGTTGCATATTATGAGGCATCTCTGCTACCTGGCCTGGGATTCTGACTCCGATTTTAATTCGGTTTCCGGCTTCCGAGTGAGGATTTCCTCCGAGTGCCCAGGTGGGTGTGTCCCTTTAATAAGGCCCAAAGTGAACTGTTCCATTTCAATTAAGCAAGATCACTTTCCAATCAAATTTATTTGACACTCTCCCAGCGGGTGCCTCCAGAACTCTTTTCCTCCCTCTCTCGCGTCTGGGTCTAAATTTCTGGCTATAAAATTTAACCAGAAATTACGCATAAATGTCATCGTAAATTCGACAGTCGTCTGCGGCGTCGTGGGAAGTTACGCCCCTGGCATACAGATATGGTCTCTCAGATATAGCAGGCTCTGGGTCGAAGGGATTTGGCCAGGGATTAGGCGACTGTCATACATATGGCCAGGGAGATGGGCAATGTCTGAAAAGGGATTAAAGTGCTTAAGAACATTTTATAGAATGATTATTGAGTATAAATATAATAGAAATTAAATGAAGTCTAAGTTACTCGAAGACTTATTTTTGAGACTTATAAACGAACTTACAACATAACATGTTTAAATCTTACAGATTAAAGCAGTTTTACAGAAATCAATCCAGTCTTCAAATGGATAAGCATTCAACTTATTAAAATAGTTTACTAATAAAATACCCAACTCCCAAAACACTCAATGTCAATGAAACTATTTTCTTGATTTCTTATGCACAATTATTCAGCTTAATAAACATCATTGAATACTTACCCTTATACACCGAACATTTAATTTCTCTCTTGGAATGTTGCTTTACATAATAATAATAATGTGGCTTTGGGGGAAACTTTCCAAAAACTGGTAGTCATTGATCTGTCAGATCATTATGCATTATGCATTACACAGTTCATCCCCTCATAACCGCCGGAAATAAAGAAAGTTTCCGCTTTCCCTTCGGAAGCTTATCAGGCTTCGCTCATCTCCGTACAAACAATTCGCAGCTAATTAAGTGGAACTGCCCTTGGGTAAAGTTAAGTTTTGGGTTATAGGAAAAGTCAACTCTGTGCAATTAAAACCACATACATACATTTCTAGTGGAAAATCATTCAATTGGCAACTAACGACAAGGGCCAGATGCCAGCTAACCGATAAGACTCGATGGGACTCGTCCCTTAAATGGTAAATGATTTAAAGCAAGTCTCATAATTTCTCATTGTTCAACTGGCATTTCCACAAACTGATAAATGAAACCGAAAACATAAACGACAACACAGGGATATGCCATAGGAGAGATCTAGTCGGGGCGATAATAAAGTCGAATACCTTTCACACTCGGCATGGGGCCGATTCCCGATCCTGGTCCTCGATGGAATAAAATTGGAATTGAAAATTGGGAAAATTGAAATGTATAAAGGCAGCTCGGGTGAAAATGCTTGGACAAGTGATCTTCTGCTAAGTAGCTTGGCTCACTAATCTGTCCAAACACAGGCCGAGCTCTCGGGTCAAATGAGTTGAGCCGAGGTCGAGGTCAGGTGTGGTTTGTGGACTCCTCTTGTGTTCCCTTAATGGGCTTACATCGAGGGAATATTTATTTTCACACTGACCTATTGTCTCTGCAAAGGATTACCGGCAAAAACTATATATTTTCATATTTTCCCACGTTTAATATACTATTTTTTGTACAGCCTTTCCCATTTTGAATTTCTCTAAAATTCTTTCTCTTGCATATTATTTGCATTTTTGTTTTGTTTTGTTGTGTTTTTTTGAAAACTATTGGCATTGGATTACATCATATTTACGGGCAGATTCTCCCACAATCCTCCTCTGAGAGATACCCGCATTCCATGTCCCAAATATTTTAAACTCAAACCCCAGGATTGTTTCGATTGTTTCCGAAGCGCGTGGCATTTAGCGGTGTTTAAAAATGTATTTCCCAGAATCCCAGACAAATATTTTTCGTATTTTGTAATCAGAAAAGTGCACATAAATTTCTGAAAAGAAAAAGGAGATCGAGAGCGAATTTCACATCGTAAAAAACTTGGAAGATTATTCACACTTGCCGGCGGCGACAAAGCGATTCGCGATACGCAATAAAATCTAATTAGTAAACTCCGGCTTCCTCTCTAAGGAATTAAAAACAAAAAACCCAAAGCCGAAACTGTAAAATTTCAGGTACTTGGGTTAAAAAAGAAACACGACAATTCGACATGGCGACGACACTTCAGGCCAAACAAAGATGCCCAGACAAAGGACACACGTACAGGGGACAAGGGACAAGGGACAAGGACACCCCTCTTTGTGGACTTTAAAAATATATATATAAAAAAACCACCCGATCCCGTTGCCGAAGATCTAACGTTGTTTACTCAACCGAAAAAGCGAAAATCGAGAAAGCAGTTGAATTGTAAAAATTTTGCAATTTTAAAAAATCAAATGGCACATTAAGTGGCGAGCTCCTCTTGCACAGGACTCGCAGGACTCGCTAGCTGGTCGCGCGCCGCGTGTCGAATTCTGTCAATATTTCCGGTGTGTCTAATGACAAACGCATGTTTACACGAGTGCGAACACATCCGGTTGGAGTAAGTCGCTCCTTTATTTATTTTATTTTTTTTGCCTCTGATTGCGGAGGCCGGGCTTCCGCGAATATTTCACGGACATCAAGGACCTGGCCTTCGCACAGGCAGCGACGGCAGTTAAATGGATTTACTCAAGCGTTCGCCTTTATTCGATGCGGCAATTTATAAATGATGGGAGCGATCTGTCGATCTGTCGATCTGTCGATGGGGTTGGATGGAAGGATGATAAACGATCCTGTGGTGCTGTAAATGTTTAAAGTCCTTAAATGAATTTAGAGGAGTGATTTTTTATTTCAGCAATCGAAGTCAGTATTAAAACATTCTCTCTTGCTCAATTATTATTATTTATACAAGCAGTTGGGAAGCTGAGAACCTAAGTTAATTCCATTTTAAGAAGGCTTTTCTGTTGCTTAAAATTTATACAAGTTTTTGCTTTATAGTTAACATATTGGCAAAGACTGGGAATCTCTGCTCAATATCACAAATATTTCTTCAACACAGAGAGTAGAGAAGGCAACGACCTTAGCTATTGTCACTCCATTTATTTACAACTGCAGTCATTGCCCAAATAGTTTATTCAACTGCATTTGAATGTCAATTAGCTTAAATTGCTAGCTTTGACTTACAACGAACGATGGCCGTTAACACGCCATGGCAATTGAGGGGCAGCCAGGAGATCCATATCCATAACATTGGAATCATCAACATTCATATCCACATCGGCATCGGCATTAGAGGCGAGTGCATTCACCTCGGGATCACCAAAAGATGTGCCTATTGCCGGAGAGTATCTGAAAGATACACATCCGCTACTGCTGCTGCTGCTGCGGCTGCTACTCCGTCGCACTCAATTTAATTTAATCAAATTTTCGACTGCCGAGGGTTCGCAGCTCTATAACTATTTTTCGGGGTGCCTCTTGTAATTATTAATAATATTTTCAGCTTGGCTTCTGCGTTGTTGTGTGTGCACATAAAACGCATCCATAAACAAAATGGCTGCAAAGTTGTTTATTCAGATCGCGGCACATAACTTCAATTAATCTCAATTAAGTGGCAAATACTCCGAGTGGACCGATGGAAACTTTCGTTTTAGGGTTCACTTAGCCCTTTTTTTCAAGTTTCTATTTTGGGGGGGTAGAGCCACTGGCCCTGGAAACCAATTGAGGAGGGTTCTGCCCCAGGCCCTGTGCACATCAATTCTTATTGTAAAACCCCAAAAAAAATGAGAAAGTGGAGTAGGAGTTCTGGGCTTTGAAGTGGCCAGTTTATTGGCATGTTAGGGCCATAAAAACGTTGTTAATTTTTTGTTGGGGAGAAAGAGTTTATTATTAAATGGAAATAAATGCAAGGAGTTTATTACGATAAAAGATTATACTACTTATACACAATTATTATTTGAATATAGAATGTATTTATACTTACATCTTACTGTTATTTATCTAGTGATAGTAACATTTTTAAATTGATTTCCTGATGATTACTCTTATTTTTTAATGACAAAAAAACCCCGTTTGATTGGACCACTTCAATAATTATTAGAAATTAGAGCCTATTTACCAAACAATCGCTGAGCAATGGTGTGAAACTGAACTCGAACTCGAATAGGGAAGGTTGGCAGCCGGAGAACCCTCTCCTTCAGGTCCTCAGGCTCTTAACCCTCGTCTTGAACAAATAAGACGTCACGCTCATTACAATGCCACAAAGGTTTTGGAGAGCCAGGGGAGAGCGAGAGCAACCCTTTGCAAGGACTACTCCTTGAAGGAGCAGCACTCCTTTTTGTTATTTGTTTCACATTCGTGGCATTTGCTCACTTGAGGATCTCTCTCCAAACTCCAGCTTCGGCCTGTCCTCCGTATTGATTACGGAGAATATGTTCCTGCGATTAGAGCCAGCCAGCAAGATGTTATAAGTATGGACATGTGGTAGGGCAACCTCGGCACTTTTGTGCTCAAATTATCGCATTACTCGTACCCTCGGGTATGCAAAGCATACATATATCGTCGATATTGGTCTATTGTTCCGGCTATCAGTTATGCAAAATGCCGAGGACGGGGCACTCTGTACCCCCTTTTGTAGTCCTTTGTCGGATTGCGATAATTTCCATCTTTAAATATTCATTACAAGACGGCGACTGGCTCTGGGTCTGGGTCGGGGTTTCCCTATCGCTTTGATTGATTACTCAAGTGGTTTATCGTGTGTGAGTGTGCGGAAATTGTTGCTTTCCTTGGGCCTTTCTTATGGCTTTGTTCTCAAATGGTAAATGGGATTGGATTGAGATTTGGGATTGGCATTGGGACTCAGCAAGGGGCGTGGTGTTCCTTTCATTCTCCTGGAGCGGAGCCAGGAGGCCTGCATGTTGGTCACTTGAGAGTTGCCACAGTTTCCATTCAGTTGTCATCTAATAGCCCAGAGCCAGAGCCAGAGTCAGTTATTATTATTTAAATAAATTCTTTGCGAATTTGCATGGCTGAGCACGGCTGGTTTTTCTAGTGGTCTCTGAGGCAGCTGCAGGGAAAAATTTCGCAACAATTCGACCTTTATGTAATTGATCTTCTAATTTCCTTTTTGGGGGCAGATCCCAGACCTCCAAGGGCGTGACCTCAGCCAAGTATCTGGAAAGAGAACAAAGAGGTTTTCTTAGTTAATGTGGCAAATCTTTCAGGGACATGGAAACTGATATGGTAGGGAATTTGGATGGACTCTCTCGGAGTTTGGAAATAATATGCTATACTGAATTATTTGGAAAAGAAATAGCTTTCAGCGCAAAGCTACAAATTTCATAATTGCAATGAAAATCAGGATTCTCATAGGAATTTAAATAAAGAACATGAAGTAACTACAAAACTATTGATTTACCAATAGTTTAAAAGACTGTAAATCTGCCACTTCCACCTTCTGTAATAATTTAATCCCAATATGATAGATTTTCTCACTTAACCCCCCTTAAACCAACAACATCTGCTGACGATGCGTGAGAAATTTCAGCATGTCTGGGCTTCCCCGGCGACGTCATCAAGCCACAGGAAGCTGCAGCAGCCTGCCGCAAAACCAAAGCACACAAAGAACCCTCGAGCTTCCACGATGTCTGTCAAGAGGCCACTCATATATTTGCAACAACTCGAGTGGCTCCGTCTCCGCCTGCTCTGCTCCGATCCCGTGGTGCTGCGGTGTGCACATGGGCACTCAAGTGTCCGGAATGGTGAGCTCCGCTCCGCTCCAGAAGCAGATTGTCGCAATTTAGTTGCCAGTCTGAGAGATGCGGCGATGTGTGAAAATTGTTTTAATCCGAAATATATTAATATTCATTGCTGCTTAGATTTGAAAATCATCTACGTATATATGTATATATACTTCCTGTGACAATTAAAAGCGGCTGCAATTAAGGGATTTTATTTCACAAAGGTCATTTCCTTAGCCGCCATCATCATTTTCCGCTGAAAAGGAGATCATTCTACCAGTTTCTCCCAGAGCTGGAGTAATTACCACTCGGTACTGTGTGTGTTTTGTGTGTGTCAATCAGCGCACTGTTATGGCAGATCGTCGTGGGTAGTTTTAATTGAATATTACAAGAGGGATGTGTGCATTAATAAGGAAATCAATTTAAATCTCAGTGGCGGCCATGAGAAAAACTAGAGTCGAAACTCTAAAAAATCTGCGGGCGTAGGATCCGTGCCGATCGGTGGTGCAAATCAGGGTGATGTGTCTCTAACGAACCCAAATCCCAAACGGAACCCTCTCAATGAAGCAATAAGTCTCAATTGAATTTGGAGTTTCTGTAATTAAAGTACAAGGTCATGGCTTTGAGATTGAGCGTTTGAATAGTTTGGCCTAATCTTGAATTTATTTTTAGCGCCCACGCTGACCAACCCGAAGGCTAATCTCGGTCTTGGCCCAATCGATCAAGTTATCTCCTCCAAGTTGTTGTCGAGATATGGTTCCAGTGGAAGCCGTGCGAAACCTGCAGTCACGGTTCCGCGGAGAGACTCGTAACATGCGGGTTGAGCACCACTAAAAAGGGGAAATCTAATAAAATTATTGCGAAAACAAAAGGCAAACGCTGAGAACTTATTTTTCCAGGGGAATTCGAATTTGGTAAGTGAAAAAGAAAGAGCTCTCTAGCTCGTAAGAAATTGATATCTATATCTTTTTAGTTTTACCATACAAAATGCTAAAGATATATGCCTTACTCTGCACTTTGCTGCTTGTCTCTGCGATTACCGCTGAAGACCCCATCGTTGAGCTCTCTTTAGGTAAAATCCAAGGCAGCACCTTGGAGAGCTTCCAAGGAAACACAATATACGCCTTTAGGGGTATCCGATATGCCCAGGCTCCTGTAGGACAACTAAGGTTCTCCAATCCATTACCAGAAACAAGTTGGGGTGATGAGGTTTTAAAGGCCACAACCGACTCTCTGGTGTGTCCACAACCAGGTATTGCTCTCTTCATGAGCGAGGATTGCCTGAAGCTAAACGTCTTCACCAAGAACCTCGAGGATCAACTACCCGTGATCGTTTACATCCACGGAGGAGCCAATGTCCTTGGCAGTGGTCACAGTATCTACGAGGCAGGTCCTCAGTACTTACTCGATCACAATGTGGTTTTCGTGGCCTTTAACTATCGCCTGGGAGCTCTGGGATTCCTAAGTCCCAACAGCAGCGAGACGAGGGGAAACTTTGGCTATCTTGACCAGGTGATGGCCCTGCAATGGGTCAGAGATCACATAAGTCACTTTGGCGGTGACCCAGAAAAGGTGACCTTGCTGGGCATGAGTGCGGGTTCAATGGCTGTAAGTCTACACCTGGCTTCGCCTCTTTCTGCAGGACTCTTTCACCGGGCCATCCTGATGAGTGGGTCAGCCACCAATCACTATGCCATCGATAATCTTTTCTGGACACGAAAACTGGCCAGGGAACTGGGCTGTCCCATGTACGATCCCTCGGATTTGGTGGAATGCCTGAGGAATGAGAACTGGACCCGGATTGTGGAGATATGCAAGGCGTGGGAAACGTATCAGTTTGTGAATATGAAGTGGAACTATGAGATCGATGGTCACTTTCTGTCCCGACATCCCACGGAACTAATCGAGGAGGGCAGCTTCAACCGGGTTCCTTTGCTGATCAGTTACACAGCCAACGAGTTGGATTATACAGCAAATGGTAGGTTAAGAGTGCTTTCTAATCTAATTTATAATAGTTTTCCTCTCTTAGTTCACCTGGAGAATGAACCTCTGCTTCATGATCTTGGCTCCAACTTTGTGGAGTATGCCCCAGAGCTCTTCCTGTACAACCAAAATGTGAGCATCAGTCAGCGACTCAAGGACTTTTATCTGGGAGAAAATGTAACCAGGATTAGTGAACAGAATATAAAGAACTTTGGTGAGATATTCTCCGATGCCATTATAGGACATGGTGTCCATCGTCTTGTTGACCTGGCCAGGCACTACACTCCGGTGTTCCACCTGCGCACTGACTATGTGGGAGAGCGTAGTCTATCGGCTGACTTGGATGAGAATAAGAAACCCCTGGGAGTGGGCCATGCCGATGATCTGCAGTATGTAATGCCGGGATTGTGGTATGGCACTCTCCTACCAGAAGGACATCCTGATATCTTTATGATGCAAAGATTAACCAGCTGGTTTGCACACTTTGCCAAAGCGGGGTAAGTTTTAACTTTGTTATATATATTCTAGTTTATGTTTTAAAAGTAAATTCTTCCCTTTTAAGGACACCCCTAAACACCACCGATAACTGGCCTGCCTGCAACTCCACGGACCTGAAGATGCTCTTCAATGGGGTGGTGACCCAGGTGGGCTTGCCGGGCTATGCCGATCGATATGCCGTCTGGGATGAACTATTTCCCACGCCACCCCGGAGCGGAGGCGCTCCCTGGCAGGTCAGCCTTGCGGCTATTTTGGCCGCTGGTGTTATGGGGATATTAATGTAGCAATTAGGTGTGGAAAAAGCTTATCAATAGGCCGTTTAGATTACGCTAATGACGCTCAACGCTTAACGCTCGCTTAGCGAGTTTGCTCTTGGCTCCGCTGCAACTATTTACTTTGATTAATTAATCAACAAAGGCGTGAGATTTTCTCTGCTTTTTCCTTGGGGCCAATTAGTCTTTGCCCTGGGAGGCGGGCCAAGGCAGCTTAAATAAACATTAATTTGTCTTTAAATGTTTCTGGCTTCGCTTTGCTTTGTGGAACTCTGACCTTTTTTTCTTTTTTGGTTGGTGGGGGCCTTTGAATTATTGTAATTGTCAGGTTTGCGCCGCACATGTAAAAACCGCTCCTGATTCCACCCTCTCCTCCTTCATGGATATCCTGGGACTTATCCCTTACACAGATGCGCTGCTATTGACATTTACGATTTGCTCTTGCGTGAAAATGCCAAACAATGCGATGGGATACAAAAGGATTATCGCCTGCTGCCCCCTTTTGGGTGTGGCGAAAGAGACTCCCCATAAAAGGGCACTTAATAATCAGTTGTCAGTTGTGTTTAATTTCAGATTTTGCTTAAAGTTTGCACGAATTTAAAGCATTTTCCTTAACACTCTTTTGGCGAAACCCTAGGTTAACCCTCCGCTGACCACAAAGGACACCAAGTTGGTCCAAAGAAAATATGGAAAATTAACTTGTTAGCTCTGTGTGTGTGTGTGTGTGTCCCTTAACACTTTATGAGGGGCAAAGGCAAACACTACGCATTGTCCTATTCCCTTTTGGGACAAGGACACAGTTGCCACAAAAAGGTGGGCAAGTCAACTTGACAGAGTCCCATGACATGACCTCAAATGACGGGGCAAAAAGATTTGCAAATTTTAATTAAATTTCACTTTCAACATTAACACATCGCAATGATGCGGAGATTAATCCTGAGAGTCCTTAGCACCTTTCCTCCTTTCCAGCAGCAGCTGGAAAAGAGTTGAAAACGGATATCGAGTGAGTGGCTTTTGTGACTCAATTACAATAAGTCTATTAAACTTGTGTCTGCGGCTGGGCTAGACAGCGACCCCGATCAGTCACAATGTCTCCTGTCTAGTCGAGCCGAGTCCTGGCTGTGAGCCTTCAGCGCGTGCCCCTTTTGACTTTGCCTGGGTTCATTGTGAGAGCGTCTAACAAAACAGAAACAGCCTCGATCAGCCCAGAGGTGAGGGCCTGTTCTCGAGATCAGAATCCCGAGGATCATCATCACGATGATGCGAAGGTGTTCCAGCTGCCGATTCGTTTGTGGCCGCGTCTCGATTTCACTTTCGCTACGCCTGCGCCATGGTTTTCGATGGAAAACCTGGCTCGATCCCGAACCCCTCCGTTCTTGCTCTTTTTGTGACGCATCGTCATCATCATCCCCCTCAGGCACCTCGCATTGCGGGTTTGATTACGTTTTTATTGAGTTCACAAAAGGAGTAAACAGTTTTGAAGTAGCGCCAAGGATCGAATGCTTTATGGGCTTGTCAGCCTGCCTGTCTGTCTCTCTTTCTGTCTTTCTGTCTGCTGCCCTGCTTATGCGTTCTGTCAACATATCGGATTACGCCCATAATCGCTAATGACAATACAAATTGAGGGAAGTGGGCAAGGATTCGATTCCCGAGGAGAGTGGAGAGCATATCGCTTTGTTATGCGTATTTTCTGGGAAGATTCAGGCGAGTATGTTGTCCTGCAATCGAAGCCGAAGTCCGATTGATTGGTATTCGTGGAAGAAGGATCCGCTCGGACAGAGCTTTGCTCACAAAGGATAGATCGGAGATCCCTTTTCTCCTTTCCCAAAGAACAACTCCATTAATTTCCCCCACGATGGCGCCTAGGACTGACTACCTTTTCGTCTGACAGATTCCTCTTATCCCTGCTCTGCGGTTAATTACATATTTATACAAATCCGAATTCGAAACCGCATTTGCTGTGATTAATGGCTGCTCCGCCTTTCCCGCACTTGCAGTCGACATCAAAGGACTCTGGTATCTGGTTTGTTTTGGGTGAAAGTGTTCACATCAAACGGCCTTTAAATTAATTGTTTTCCCTTTTTCCACGTTTTAGTTTCACGATGCACAACTTGATTATTCGATAAAACGACTCACATGTGAGCTGTCCCAGTCCCTGTCCCTGTCCCCATTGTCTCGCTGTCTGTGACAGGCTACTCCAAGTTCCCAACTGGTTCCAAGTTGTGTGTTGTGTGTTGTTCGTGTGTGTGGTCCAGTGAGTGTCTTTTGTTGTTCCCTGCGATATGGCAGTCGCTTTTGTTTGATGAAGGCCCAAGGAACACTCATAATTATGCATGTTTTTCGGGGCTTCGATGCTAATAGAAATGTTCGGAGGACCACCCTCGCATCAGAGTGAGATTTATGATAACCCAAGTCAGAGACATCTCCCCTGCCTTCCTCTACAAGTATTATAACTACCCACAAATCAATCGAGTGCAACACCCACTTTCGGTCACAGATTGCCATCTTTTTGCACCCAATTTAAAGGACATAAAAAGCGCAAATAGTCGCAGTCATTACAAGCGCGTTAAGTGCCAAAGCCGCCACGTCCTTTGCAAATATTTGTTTGCAGTTTTCCGATATATCACCCCCTCTGGTCCCTGCCCTGCCCTAATCCTATATCCTAGTCCTTGCCAGGCTCTGTTGTCAAATGTGATTATTAATGTGCTTTAAATAATGAAATCGAAACAACATCCGTTGTGAGTGGCACCCTCAATCAGTGCGCCCTCGAAGCGTATGCTAGTTGTCACAAGGGTGCGAGGAATCTGCTTTTCCCAGTTCCCAATTTCCACTTCCCAGATCCCAAAGCCAGAAGGACCAACTAATGAGTGTAAACAACGGATGGATGCCGGAAAAAATACAGCAAACAAACTGCCACAAACTGTTTGATTTGTCGCTCAGGACTAATGAAACCAAACATTAGCGTGCCCAGGACACGATGAGGACCAAGACTGAGCTAGCTCGGGGGTTGCCTCTGCGGATTGTTGCAATTTTTTTTTGTATTCGAAAGGGATGTTACTAGAGAGGACTAGAGGGTGCACTGGAAGAAAGAAGAGTTGGCGAAATGCTGAGCAAAATGTTGGTTAGTTAACTTTTATTTTAATATAGTCTTTCTTTTCCTTCAATTACCTTAAATCTTCATGGTATGCCCTTCCAGGGTATTATAAAATTAGTTAGAAGCTGGTTAAACTATGAAGATATCATTTCCGACCCATTATATTATATTCTTGATCAGCATCAACAGCTTAATCAATATAACTATATCCGGTTGAAATAAAATTTTTGAAAATTTTTTCGATTTTCGCAAAAATAGTTAAGGGGTTACATCGTTAAAATTGTCCAAATTTGATAAAGCATTTAATTATTTACACTCTCGATATTAGTATGCAGATTTGTTAACCTAATAAAAACTAACATATGTAGGAACGATTTCCGAATTAAAATTAATGCATTTTTGGCTTAGTTATGAGATTTTTAAAATTTAATTAATAAACAAAATTGTCATATAAATATAACCTTTTTTCCCCCGGTGCAGAATTCCGACTGTTTACCCTGGCAATGGGTTCCTGTAAGTTGATTACGTGGTTGACGTTGACACTGAACTACAATATGAGGGCACGGAATGCGACTGCTTCTGCGGCAGCTGTCTTCACGTGAACTGCAGTCGCAGTGGCTGCCCTGGGATGCGACTCCGCTCTGCATCACCTTGCGGCACCTTCCGGTGGAAAAGCTACGTGCTCGCACTGGCTAATGCCCAGGTGGAGACCTGGAGGGAATGGGTTGAATATAGCGCCAAGGGTCAGAGCAACTGGTCGAGGAGCTGGGGTCGAAGCTCGACTGGTGAGCAGCTCGTGGGAAACTCTCTCGAACGGCATGCGGGTGTGGTTTTCCTTCTGCGAGTGTGTTTTGGCCACAATTAATGAAATCGTATCGTACACAATGTTTTGGTGAGTGATTAATAGTTCGCAGAGTCTGGGAAATGTATATAATGCTTTTTTTGGGAGGCGCCCCCGGCGCATCTTGGATGCACTTGTTCTAATGGCTCCAAAATCCAGGTATTGAGCAATTAGTTAAACGATCCACTAAACCGTTGACAGTGTGTGGGGATCGGGGAACTCAAACATCAATCAGAAGGCAACTTTCACATGGACAGAATCCAATTTGTCATCGATTAGTTGGACGGTTGGAAGAAGCACCAGTAGAATTTCTGACAAGCTCATTTAACTTTTCAGCATTTTCCAGGAAGAAGAAAATAAAACAAATAACTGGAGGGCTTGACTTGAGATCCCCGGGAAAGGTATGTACTTCAGTCAGGGGTTTTTCCCGCTCCCTCCTGAATCCAACCCTCGCTGTCCCTGCAACTCGATCCATCATCGCAAGCGTCGAAAGCTGCATAAAAATAAAAACTATTATTGAAACCCGATGCCGCGATGACAACAGACAACGAAACCCAGTTTCCTCTTATCTTCTACGGGGGAGACTGACTCCCTGGCTGACGGATCAGCGTGAGATGTTCAAATGAGGATGACTCTGTCCGGCACAGCTTGCGATCGGCACGCGACTCCTCCAGGTTGCCACTTCAGAAAAATATTTTCCAATAAGCGGCGCCGCAGGATCATGACAGTTATTAAATATGCTGCCAGGATACCCACCCGACGAGTGGCTGCTAATGGTTTTCTCGCCAGCTTATCAGCATATTTCCATCGTCCGCTGACGGATCGCCCACTAGCCGCACGCAATTGTCTGTTAAATGCTTTCCACTCTTCGGAGTTTTCCATTTTCCTATGCTAATAGTTTGAGGGGGAGGAGGCGGCGCACCATGAACTCGGATAATGCCAGCACTCGACTCGGCGCATGCGCAGAGTTTTCCTATCAGAAACGGAGCTTCTGTTTGTTCACTATGTGGGTGGATTTCCTGCTGAAGGTTTTTTCGAGGCACATGCCAATGCAGGTTTGGATAGGAAAGTAATCAAGGTACTTAGTTTTTTATATAAATTTCCACTTGAATTTTTAATTGTGTAATTTTTTTATGACAACAATAGAAGCTAACTTCTGGGATCATTCAAATCATTATAACTAAGTCAAAAATACATTAATTCTAATTCGAAAAGTTCCTATATAAGTTAGCTCTTCCCCCTCCCTTCGATTTCCCACTCCCACCTAAGCCCAATCGGTGAAAATATGTCAATGCTTCTTCCATTCGACAAACTTAACCCAATAAATGCCTGGCATAGCTTATATGTAACTTTCGGAGGAACAAATACAGACTCTTCTGTGCCGTTCGAGTGACTCATAAATTGTGGACTGCAATGCACATTATCCATCGCAAAGGCTGAGGAAAAAATAAGAGTCAAGAGTCGCAGATCGGTGGACACTTTCTGGATGCAAGGCTATGTAGTTGTTCCTGTTGCAACTTTAGTCTCAACTGCCTTTTGCTGCTGTCGTTGTTGTTGTTATTTATGAGTTTTGTGATGTTTGTGCAAATTTTTCTATGTAAGCAAAGCCACTGAGAAGTAAAATGTTTACTTAAATTCAATAACTATTAAATTGTAAATTTTAAGAAATAATTTCCTTACTTTATGGTTCGAAATATTCAAAAATATAGGGCATAATATTGATGTAAGATTATTATATTAGGATGTTGTACTTGTTTCTCTCTGTGTGACACTGGAGATTCGCAACCAGATCGCCTTTGTTTCGGCCTCTCAGTGCAGCTTCGAACTGTGTCTCCTTGGGCTTATCGGACGTCAATTGCCAGACAACTTCATTGCCTTGGACCAAGCCGAGCTCCGAGAGATTCCTGCGCACTGATGTTGACAGCAGGAGTTCCAAGCACGCGTCTTTCTGGCCAGGGAAAACCACAGAGGTGGAAATGCCATTTCTGCGGTTCGGTGGGAGTCCGCATCCTCGTCTGCGTCTGAGTCCTCGTCTGAGTCCTCATCCTCGCAATCTAATTACATTTTGTGGGCAAGCAGGCAAAGCTCAGCTCAACTGCTCTTTGAGCGATTTCCATCAGTCAATAAAACCTGGCCTGGCCTGGCCTGGCCGGCAGTCGCAGCAGGAAAGGCCAACCCGACACCTCGGGCTCCATGGACTTCATCTGATATGATTTGGACCCTGGGGGCTCTGTGGGATTTGGGTTTTTGGATTGTGACTAGGATTGGGAGTCCAAGCTGGGAGCAGGGAGCAGCTCTCACAACTTTATTTGCGCTTTGGCAGTTCGCGGAAATCGAAATCTGCTGCAACTCTGCTTTGGCCTCTTGTCCAAATATTTCGCTGGAAATTGGAATGCAGCGATTGGAATTCTCCCATTCTCCTACGGGGAAAACTTTCCTTCCTTCTACACTTATATTTGATACATGTACATTATTTTTCCCATTTTTGCATTCAACAAATTGTGGCAACATATGCTGCTCTCGTTGCTGACAAGCGAAACAATTAAAACTAAAGTGGAAACGATCAAAATGAGCAACCCCGGACATGCATTGATCTATTCCCGGCGATAGCAATTCGACCGACCACATTCGGTTGCCTTACAATTTGCATAAATTAATATATTAACAATTTTCCAACTGGTGGTGGTGGTGGTTGTGGGATCACCCCCACAGGATCCTGAATCCCTAGCGTGACTCATGACAGGGCACTCGATTGCCAATTGGAAGGATGTCATGGAATGGAGTGAATGGGATGAATGGGTGGTTGGTTGGACATCCAAAATAGCGTCATGTGTTGGCCTTTATGCTAATGACCAGGACACGAGCCACTCCGTCGAATTGGACGACTCCTCCGCTTTTGACATTGTCATGCTCTGGAGCGTAACCAAACTCCGATAAGAGCAATAAAAACGAGAAATACATTTGTGAGCGACCCACTAACAACGCTGGCAAAGTGGATGAGGCTCCGACAAAACAACACATCAGAGAAGAGCACAGCACAACACAGATGTGCGGCGATGACTTTGGTGGAGGTGATCTACACTGGGAGAATATTGGTAATAGAAATATATATCACTATTAGCTATTTTATATGCCAATTTTTTGGATGAATCCAAGTTTTTCAAATATCATAACTAAGTCAAAAATGTATTAAATTCAATTCGGATTGCTTTGCTGTGCTAGTTTTTATAGGGTTAACAAGTCAATAATGTTAAAAATTCAGTTTTTTGTCAAATGTTGACAATTTTAACGATGTAACCCTTTATCACATTTTGAGAAAATTAAAAAAAATTTCAAAGAAATGGCCGGACATGGCTAGATCGATTCGGCTGTTAATGCTGGTGAATAATATACATGATTTATGAGGTCGGAAATGACTCCTTTACAGAGTTTTAAGCTTCTAACTCATCTTATAATACCCTGCAAGGGTATAACCAAGAAAAACTTATTTCAATAGAAATATCACTTCAAAACCTCCCTCATAATTTCTCTCCGTGTCTAAACAAGGCACGCGATCGACGACAATCCATAATGCTCGACACGTACTGGTGCGGAGTTATCGAGTGCCGACTGTCGTATAATATATGCACCCACACCAGCGATGACACGAAGACCCAAAACAATTCAACCCGGGGGAGGCGAGGCTCATCATCAAATTGGAGAGTTGAAAATATGCCAATTGGCTTGACTGCCTGTCACTTGGCAACTGAATAGCAGCAGCAAAAAACAGGAAAAAACAAATAGCCGTGGAAATAAATATGCCAAATGGCGGTTTTCATTGAAAAAGTACAGTAGGGCCTTCAAGCCTCCTTGGTTTGGCGCCGCCAGTTTAGGGGAAAGAGCCGCTTCCAGATCTCGTAGCGTTCGGCATTGAGATTCTCCTGGAGAGTAAGGTGCTTGCCTATGTCCAGATAGTAACGTTTCTTGAAACTAAAAGGACGCCAGCGAATGTCCCTCAAGGCCAGGTCAGTGGGTTTATTCGGATCGCTGAAACAGTTAATCAATTAATAATTAAACTCATCAGAGATCTGTAATAAATCGTACGTACCCCTTATAAGCAAAGGCGGAGAACATCCTGACCATGATATCCACCATACGGAACTCGTCATCCTCCTCGGTGAACATGCGACTGATCGAGGGTTCCACAAATAGATACATTAGATCATCATGATGCACCACGCCATAGGGAGCATCTTCCGGATAATAGATGTGACTCCTGGCACCCTGATACGAGAAACGATAGTAGTAGACCTTTGTGGACCTGGCAGCCAAGTGAACAAATCGATGGATGCCGAAACCAGTCAAGGCATCCGAGTACAAATTGGACAATGCATCCAAAGAACGATTCGCATCGATGGGCTGCTCCTGGAAGTAGTGATGCCTTAGCTCCTGGCTAATATTTGCTGCTCGAGGATCGCTGCCATTGTACATGAAGAAGACGGGAGCCAGGGACTCAAAGTTCTCATTGAGGGCACTCAGCAAGGAAGGACTTTGCAGGATGGCTAGAAAACATATTCACAATTAAATTTGTTTTTGTTATTTTCAGAGTCACTTACTTAGTGCTGGTCCCACAAACTCATCCTTGGTCATGCCGGTGATGATGGGCACCTTCATAAAGTCATCGTTTTGATAGCTCTTTATTGGATCATCCACCAGAAAGCGTTCCTGACCAAAGTCCGGCTCTATGACAGGCTTCCACAGGATCAGGGGATTGTTCCTGTCGAACTCGAACATTTTGGGCAATGTATTGGCATATTCCAGGTAGTGTTTCTAGGGATTAGGATTTAAATTATCAAAGAATTATAAGAAGGATCTCTATTAATGCTCACCCCTCGCAGGCAGTCCATCATATCGGTGATGTTCTCCGTGTGACAGTGCAGCAATGTGGCCTGCTTGGTGGCCACGTCCATCTGGTGCTCAGGAAGCGACCACTGACCCGTCATAGCTCCACTCATCACGATGGCGCGGTGGAAGAGACCCCTCGACATGGGCGAAACCATGTGAAGAGTTACTGCCATGGCTCCGGCTCCATAGCCCAGTAACGTGATGGAACTGGGATCTCCGCCAAAGCGAGAAATATGCAGCTTGACCCAGCGAAGGAGTTGCACCTGATCCTTTAGACCCATATTGCCGGGTGCCTCCTTGGTACCCGTGGCCAGGAAACCCAGTGAACCCAGTCGATAATTAAAGGTGACCAATACCAGGCGGCGATCCATGAAGTACTGCGGACCGGCAAAGTTCTTGCTCTGACCGGACAGGGAGTAGAAGCCCCCCGGATGGATGAACACAATCACTGGACGCCTCACATTCGGCTGCGACTCGCTGGGCAGCTCCTTGGTGTAGATATTGACCCTTAAGCAATCCTCGTTCACATCACCGCTGAAGAGACCCAGCTGCGGACACTTGGGTCCATCGAAGGTGGCATCCAGGACATCAAACCATTGCTCCACAGGTTCTGGGGGCTGGAATCGAAGTCTATCCACCGGTGGCTTGGCGTAGGGTATTCCGCGGAAGGCATAGAAATTGCGTCCCGATTGGGAAGGCAGGATGGTGCCACGGATCTTGCCCAAGGCGGTGGTGATGACCAGGTCCGAGAGCTCTTTGTTGTTGCCAATGGGATCATCGTCATCTGGCACCGCCTTGCCGTTATCCTCGTCCTCGCTGGCCAGGCCAGAAACCAAGGCTATGAAGAGCAGTACGATTCCGCAGAGACGCCACATGGTGCACTGCCACGCGAGACTGTGGAGGCTGGAGCTCCAGCACTTGGCTTTTATAGCTGCCCGTTCTGGCTGGGATTATGTCACATAAAGTGCAGAAATTGATGCGATTCCCCCGGGACACTGACACTGACACCGACACTGGGCGTTGAATGCGATTGCGTTTGCTTTTGCATTTGCGATCTCTTCCCATATCCAATGGTCCCCTCTGGCTGGCAGTTGTAGTCCATAAATAACAGGAGACCACTTCCCACACACACCCATCTCTCTCTCTCGATCTGGGAGTTATCCCGGCCACGGCCCACGCGGCTTATCACCGCTCCTGGAGTACATCGGCTTCGGTTTGCTCCAATTTTCCCACGTGAACTTGTTTGCGTGCTCGGGGCTAATTAGATTAGGTGTGTGGCGGAACACCCTCCTCGCTCGTTGCTCCTTTCTTCTTGCTTTTTGCTCCTTGCTCCTGACCCCGGTTTAACCTTTCCCGAAAAGCGATCCTTAAATGCCCGCTAATAGCGTTTAATGGTGAGCACAAAAGGTGCGCAAGTCATAAACTTTGGCGAGGACAACACACCCCTCGGTGAACCCCTGAGACACACATCATTGCCGCTGAAGTGTGTGTTGAGAGTTCTTTCCATTGTGCTCGTCTTCCTTTTGAGCCAAATGTTTGCTTCCTTTCTTCCGCTTCTGGATCGTCCTTCCTGCTCGTCCTTCCTGTGTGTGTGTGCCAGATCAGACAAAGGCGTGCTAATTGGATTTATATTGGTCTTTGGGTAGAAGAAAAGGAAACGTTGGTAGCTGCTTCTGGCCCCGGGGGCAGTGTGAAAATTCTTTGTTTTCCACTCTTTAAAGGGAATAATCCCATAAATATGCTCCGATCTTCAATGGGAACCAAGACTCCTTGAGCAGAGAAGTATCGTATAATGATTGAAACTGGGTCTCTTATCATCCCCTTTGGATTTAGTTATAGATATAAGAGCTCTCTAACTCATCGGGGTTCTTGAGGTTTTTATTAGAGAAAGTTATCATTAGATTTCTCTAGGGGAATATATATATTCATTAACTTGAGTTGTTTTAGTAGCAAGTTCTGAGCTCTAACTTTGTTAACATTAATTTCAAGCCTGCTGCAGGGGCTAGGACAACTCATAGACCACAAGGAACTTCTAGAAGGCAACTTTAAATTGATGATTGCAGCTGTAGAAGATCTCTCCTCTCCCTTGGACTCCTCTCACGTGACACTGCTCCCTGACTGTGTGTGTTTAGTGATTCTGTGGTCGTACTCATCGAGCCTCGTATTACCAGGTAATTGTAACGTCAGTCGAGGCACGTTCCCGGCAGGTGGCAGCCAAGGAAGACGCCTCCGAACTGCCTGACACTAATGACGACGAGCAACCAGACGATGTCTTGCCATGCGCCACAGGATGTGTCTCGATCTTGGCTTGTGGACCAGCTTCTCGAGGTTCTCTCATCTTCGAGGTGTGAGAGAGGTTGTTGGTGTTCGACGAGGTGTGAAGTGCAATTGCCTCGGGTCAACATCTCCTGCCGAGTTGTTTTCCAGACAACCCATGGTGATTTTGTGGGATTTTCCTTATAACAACGTTAGACTCTTGATTTCGAGTATGATTTAATTACTGAACGTTTAGCAAGGTGACTTTCGTGTGGGGTCCTAGGAAATCTAGGAAAACCGATAGCAATCAATATGGAAAAAAACGCTGATTGCAATCAGTGGAGGAATATAACTTTTTTTGCAGATCAATCTATACATTCTGCATGACTGTCCAAAGGGCGTAATTTATTGGCCCGAAATTAGCATCGAATTCTGTTTTGGGAAATTTTGTTTTGCTATTCAACCCTCACCTTCCCTCTCTCTCCCCACACTCCCGGTAAATGTGCATTGACTAATGAAATGTTGCAGTTGCAGTTTGCATTTTCCCCGAGTCGAGTGTCGCGTCCTGATGACGAGGTCGTTCTGGGCCAAATGATTCGAGTAATTTATGGCCCACAAAATCGTGGTGGCTGCTCTGCTCTTTTGTTTACCTACTCCTCTGGTTTTTGGGTCTACACATAAATAGATTTTTTTCCACATAAAAATTGACACACAATTTCGGCATGCTTTTTGGGTTCTCCTCTAATTCAACGATGTTTGTGTATGTCCTTTGCTAATTTGAATGCGATAATACGCCCGCGATTCTGTTGTTAATTAGCCGGGTTTGTTTGGACGATGGTTTTATGGTTTTATTGCAATGGAGCCACTGATGGGACCAGAGGCACGCGACAAAAGGTGCCTCCGCATATGCGGGAATGGTAAAAGAATAAAGTGCATCAAATTGATTTTAGCCATATTTATGGATATTAGTTGTCATAGGCAGAATACCGGAATAGATAATAGGTTATTATGCATTAGTAGGTATTGTAAAACTCTCTACATATGTTTGTATTTATCTTTCAGAATAGAGTTGAAACAGTTAGGTAACGATATCTGCATACTAAGTCAAAAAGTTTATAAACTTATCTATGACCAGTAAGTAACTATGATCAGAAAGTATCCATGTCCAGTAAGTATGTATAATAAGCTACTAACTTTGAACACTAATAAACAATGACTTGCAACTTTTGTAACAACACATTTCTGATACTTGGCCGGCAGCAGTCACTTCGTTCCGGGGATGTTTGAACCAGTTGGGAATCATAAGTTCACATGTGCGAGATTTGTTTTGGAGCAAATTTAAGCTATTTGAATAAAACTATGGAGTTAAACTTTTTTATTATTTTACCAGTATATAAATCGGAGCATGGCGAATCGGTGAACTATATATACACATATATAGCCACGATACGAACAATAGGAAAATGTTAGGAAGAAAATATTATAACTTTTCCAGATTTCTACAGATATTCATCAAAATTAATATACAGCCATAATATATTAATATAGAATTTCGTGTTCAATTTTATGAAAATCGCACTACTATATCATATAGCTGCCATACAAACGATCGTTAAAAATAGATATGTATAAGTGATTTAAATGAAAGCAGGCATTACTTTGGTTTTTAATATAAATAAATACAATTTATATTGTATTAATTCCTAGTAATCGAAACTCAATATGCAAGCGTAAACAATTTTGTGGTGCCAATGTTAGTTTCTTGTTTTAGTTGATATCTGTAATTTTAGTTCTTTCTGTTTAAGGCATTTGACTAAAATAATGATACTCTTGCAAGGGTCTAAAAAACTTATCTTTTTTTATTTAAAAAACTACTGAATTGAAATATATTTTTATTTAAATTTCTATAATCTTTCTCCAGCTAAGGTCTTGTTTACACTTCCCCAACCAATTTCTAGACAATCAAAGCCATTTAAATATCCATTAACAACCAGTTCTGCCTGACAAAACAGCTGCTCTCAGACTAAAGAACTGAAGAACTGACTGACTGACTGCCTGACTGACTGACTGACGACTGTCCATTATCAATCACTCCCTTTCCCGTTCCGGAATCGGAATCGTAGTCCCAAATCAGCATATGCAAAAAGAGGCGCTGCAGAAATAATAATCGGCGCGACATAAACAACAATTGGGGGAGAGAACGGTGAAAACTGTCAAAGGCAATTGTCAGAGGTTTTGTTTGGACTTTCCAGGGCCACGAGAGTGATTGATCACAGACGGGAGGAGAAGGAGGAGGAGGAGCTGGAGGAGGACCCTAGATCAATACATCATCTCGAGTGGGCTGAGGGCCAAATGATCGTGGGAGTTTTTCACTATTCACATATATTTGTATCTCCCAGTTTTGCACCTTTCACAGAGCCATGCCGAGCACGTGCTGGAGCTCCAGCTACCAGGCAAAGGAACCAAGTAACCAAGGCAACCTAGAAGGCTGACACAGAGGGAAATCTCCTCCAGGAGAGGGGCACGGCACAAAGGAGGTCAGCCAGCATAACTCGGCGAAGAAGTGCAGCTGTTGGACTGGCGGCTTGCCGCAGTCTTAGCCACTTCCTCTTCGTGGTCTGGTTGAGATACACACACTCCTGTGGAGTGGGGACTCCCCGACTCCGACTCCAGTTAACCCGTGCCATTGCCACTGCCTCTGCATACGTGCCCTGCATCCATCCACACGCCCATAATTCTCAGGAGAGTAAATTAATTGTTGCTTATTATTTACATTGGTTCTGCGTTCTCTCTCTGGTAACCTGTAGCACCTGTTTTCGCCACCGCTACACTAATCGAATATCAATATTCTTATTCCACCGATTGCACCCAGCACTTTTCATTTCTATAATCCCCGCTCATTGATGTACCGATAAGTTGGGGCTCAAGCTCAGGCTCATGCCATACTCATAAACGTAATCGTAATCGCAATCATAATCGTAATCATAATCATAATCATAATCGTAATTAACTTAAACGGGTCTTCCCCCGATCCGTCCAGCTGGCTTTTTGAGGCAGGTCAAGCCATGCGTGCCGCTGTCGTCTGGTCTTGGTTTTTGGGATCTGGTCTGTTTTGAGATGGAATTGGAATGGGAATGGAATGACTTGATTACCGCCTTATGCGGGATGTTGGTCACAGATTTCTTGGACTCTTTGTAGGCCATCTGCTGGGGCGAGGTTCTGATTCTGATTCTGGTTTTGGTTGTGCAAAAAACTCTGATGATCAAAAATCCAGTTAGGCTGGCCCGCGATCTCATCACCTCCCAGCAAGATGGGTTTATCTTATCGAAGTATCTTAAAGACAGAAGCACTGGCATTTAATTAATGCGATTCAGATAAAGAGTTGAGCAAGGAAACAAAAAAGGAAAGGCCACTCATGAGCATGAGTTGTACTAGAGTATATTCTAGTTAAAGATATTCAAACTTGAGACATACATAGGGATCAGATAACAAAATTGCAGCTAAGAAAGAATACATATTTACACTCTCTTAGTTAGAAGTTTGCTACGCAGTGTTGGATTAGTGTCTATGATCAGTAATTAACAATGATCAGTAAGTAAGTTTGATCAGTAATTACCTCTGATCAGTAAGTATCAATGAACAGTAAGTAACTTCGACCAGGAAGTATCTATGAACACTAATAAACAATGACTTGCAACTTTTGTAAGAACACATTTCTGAGACGTGGCCGGCAGCAGTCACTTCGTTCCGGGGACGTTAGAACAAATTGGGAATCATAAGTACATATGTGCGAGATTTGTTTTGGAGCAAATTTAAGCTATTTGAATAAAACTATGGAGTTAATCTTTTATATTATTTTACCAGTATATAAATCGGAGCATGGCGAATCGGTGGACTATATATATACATATATATTGCTGCCATAGGAACAATAGGAAAATTTTAAGAAAAAAAATTATAACTTTTCAAGTTTTCAAGATATTTTCATCAAATTTGATATATAGCCATTATATATAAATCTAGAATTTTGGGTAAAAATGTTATAAAAATTTTACTACTATATCATATAGCTGCCATACAAACGATTGTTAACAATAGAAGACAAATTCAAAACTGTGAATGTAAAACTGGAAATATAAAATGTATAGGTAAATGAAATGAAGGCAGGAAAAGGCCTTTATTCAAATAAAGAAATTATAAATATAATTGCCCTGCAATCACAGTAATAAATATTGTTAAGACTCAAACCTTTAGGCTAAACTTCCCATCTCATTAAGCTTTATGTTTCAGTAATTTATACCTAATTTAAGTGGCCTTCCCCCAGTGATTAAATATGTTTTTATTCGTAGAATAAACCGCTTATAGCCAGAGGCATCTAACTGCAAAGACCCACTCCTGTCCATCAGGTACCATCGATTCCATTCCATTCGCTTCGCTTCCCACTTCCTTGGAGCTTCAATTATGAGGGCTTCGGGTTCGGGTTCCTTGACACATCCTGAAGTGGGGCCCCCCAATCAAGCTGATCATGAGCAGAGCACATTAGGCCCGGAATTGGAAACCGCCCCAAGCTCATTATGCAAACATTGCTCGGAAGCCTGATGATGCCGAATGCGCCGAATTTTCAACAGTCCATTTAGCTGATTAAAGTGTAGGAACAGCGAGGACTCCGACCTGGCTCCATCTCCAACCCATTTGGTGTAATTTTCGGTAATCAGCAAATGGTAGGGTCTTTAAGCACCTTCGGTGCGAAAATTACAGTCCGCGATTCGCATAATTTTGGCACCTTGCCCGGGACCTTACATTGCTACACATTTCCACGAGGGCCTCGCTACCTTTGATATCTTCTTCCTGCGCCCTTTTGTGTTGATTGTTCTGTTAGGCGAACGAAGTCATAAAATTAAATTTATGAGTCATAATTTCAACGATCAAAAGTAAGTCGCCTGTCCTGGGGGCTATCGGAGCGTACCACCCTTGTAATTGGGTTCTAATCGAGCCCATTTATAAGGCCATGCCTGGGACACCAAGAGGGCCATTAGCATCGAGGGGCCTAACACCTCGAGGGCTCCGCACATTTGTCAAAATCAAAATCTCGAAAACCCAAAAATATGGTATTTTATTTTTGTGGGTGATGTGAGCTCGAGCTAGCAATCAGTCAATAGACGAAACGTTAATCCGCCGATGAGCTTTGCTCTAGGGTCTGAGACTCGGTCTATTAGTGGACCTCCCAGTGCGACGACCAATTAATTGCGTAAATGGAAAAATTGCCCTCGGTCTTTGTCTTTGCTGGGTGCCACAAGAGTCACACTTCGAGATTTGGGATCCCTACAGTCGGAGAAAGATGTGTTTGGGAATGTGTCAACAAAACACTCGACATACTCTATAGGGGTCATCAATATTATTTTAAAAACTGTCTGCAAGAGGTTCCTTCTTAATTGGAGTGAGCTTTTCTGGCAGAGGGAATTTTTAAAAGTATATTTATAAAGATTAAGCACTTAAAATTGAATGGAACAAAGCATGCTCCTTAATATCTTATAATTTCTTTATAAATATATCGCATTCTTAAAGATCTGGTTATAGTTTTATTGCAGTAATACTTTCAGTAACTAATTTCCCTCAGTGCCTTTGCCCAAATTAATTATCAATATTTTTTGAGGTCGAAAGCTTACTCGAAAAACCATTACAATGTACACTAGTTTTTATTTATTTTAACAGATCGATGATTAATTTGATGTGCTGAAATTATGGAATATTTTTCAAACACAAAAAAAAGAAGAGGTTTTTGTGTGTGGGGAGACCCCAATGACAGGCCCTTCTTGGAACAGCTGGAGCTTGGCGCTCTCGGAGCACGCGCTCATTAGAGAGTGGCTGGAGCCCAGCATGACACTGGATCAGATCGGGATTGGATTGGAGATCGAAGGTGGGACCACACCGGGTGTATAGTGTACATTAAACTACACATGCTTATAAAATAATGTTGGGCAATTAATTGCGAAAAACCCCCCGGGAGAAGCAGCTGCCTGAACCTAACTCCGATCGGGGGGAGAAACTCTTATGTTAGTTGGTCGTGTAAAACTGTGAGCATATCTTACATTTTGTGGCATTTCGTCGTTGCATTTGTCACCCGTATCATTTGCGTTGCGGAGCGTTAAAGCGACAACATGGCCAGCAGCCATCCATGGCCCAGGTACTCCCAGTACCGCGTAGTTAAGCGTCTTTAGGCCCTATCCCCTATATATCTGCTATATAAAAGTAGTATAGTATATGTATATAGCGATCTCCTCCTGTCACAGTCGCTGAGCAACAGTTGCAACCGTTTACATTTCCTGTCAACGGCATTTTTAATTTTCCATTTTCACCTTAACGCCTTCATTTCTCTTTTGTCCGCCAGTTAAAATTGCTCCTCTTCTCGGGTTAATTGTGTGTGCTACCAAGTGGACGCATAAATTGTATTTTATTTCATTTCATTCCTTTGTTGGCCTGTAACTTTGGCCTAAATGGCCAATGCGGGCTGATCAGGTGAAAACACAAGACGCAGTGAGCATTAGGCCCAGAAGTGCCCCCTCTGGCTGATCAGGCCCTGATATTGTTGCCACTTGTGTAGAGCTCTTAGTAAGTCCAACTTACTGACAAGTCAACGACCAAAATGGAGTTGGAGGAGGTGGAGCTGAGAAGAAATACCTCTACGCTCTAGTGGAGAATAAAGAAATGGAATTTTGCTGGTAAATATCATTGTTCTTCATTTTAACTTGGCTACTATCTTGGCTTGAAATAACTGAATATGAAATAAAAACTTAATTTGGAGACCTCTTTAAAAAGGGAAATACTTACATAACTATCTTTATGCTTAATAATTTACTAGAACGTTTTCTTTCCAGTTTGATTCACTCAGATTATAACTATTTCTATTTGAAAAAATCATCTTTCTAAACTGCTTAAATTTACCCTTTAAAACTCTTCATATTTCTTACTTCTAAATTGTTTTTAGATGCTTAAAAATTCGATTAAACATTAACCAGACGTTCTTGAAATCTTTCACTTTCCCAAAGAGTTTATTAAATTGAATGTTTCGGCATTTTTTCGCCTATCCCCCGACCATTAATCATCCATTGCTATTATGTCAAACATTCCCAGTGATAAACCCTTGAATTTCTATGCTCTCTCCTCAGAAATTTCCATTGCTTCTCCCAGTCTCATATCCTTAGGCAGAACAATGGCTCCTGATAAGCGGCATAATAAGTAATTAAATTTCTGTGATGCTTATCAACCATACAAATATACATCTCCATGTATGTAACTTGCAGATACATTCACCCCCCTTTCTTGTATCCAGAACTTCAAAAACTCCCAAGAGAGATAATACACACTGAGAGAGAGAGAGAGAGAGATGTGTGTGTGTGTGCTCTGTGGATTATCCGACCAATGGGAAGCGAGCAACAAACTGGAAGTGGATGCCGCCTGGAAGCAAAGAGTATCTGACGGATACGTCTTACCACAGCGGCAGCTGTTGGCCGCCGCCGCCGCCGACGCCGCTGATTATGCGCCGACGTCGTCGTCGCCTGCGTGGAGTTTTTCGCCAAATTATGCGGGTGGCTCTGCCCCCCGCTCCGCGGGGTTTTTGTAGGTGGAGCCATAATAACCATCGTTCCTTTGTTGACAAAACTTGGCATCTCTTGAAGTTTGCTTTTTTCCCCCGTTTTTGTTTTTATTTTACTATTTTTTTTTGTGTGTCTGCTGCTCTTTTGTTTCTCGCAAGTATCTGGCAGATACACGCGCACATCCCGCCCAGCTGCATCGCACAGCGCTCGCTCACAGGTTGCCCCCAGCTAAGGTAGCCAAAATCGTCATTCTCACGGCTGTCTCCTCGCGATTGGTGTCGCGTGCGCGCAATTCGTGAAATCCATCCGCAATCCGCCATCCGCGAAAACTCCAACTAGCCGACGGCTATCCGCGAGATACAAGTGCCACCCAATTGGCTTACAATGCCCCTTCAAGTGATGGCTGTGTGAAGTGTGAAGCTCTCGAATCCCGAGAAAACTCAATTAAGTGCGCGTTTAGCTGTCCTTTGGACACATTCTCAAGTCTACACAGTCGCTTCTCTCTGGATTAAAGAAGCTGCTTCACTTGGAATATGGTTGTTATGTAAGTTGGGGAAAAGAGTTTTGAACGAAAGGTGGAGTGGATTTCTTATCACTAATTTTAAGAGATTTTTTATACCCTTGCAGAGTATTATAATTATAGTTAGAAGCTTTGAATTAGTCATTTCCGACCATGTATGTCATATATATTTTTGATCAGCATCAATAGCTGAATCGATCTAGCCATGCTTGGTGTGAAAATAATTTTTTTAATTTTTTTCAACTTTTTCATCTGATAAAAATAAGATAAGATAAAAATTGAGAAAAAGTTTAATTTTTTAACATTTTAAATTGAGTATGCAGTATTATTGTCCTAATTTAAGCTAACACATGAAAGGTTTCCGAATTGAAATAAATGCATTTTTGGCTTAGTTATGAGGTTTTGAAACTTAGATTTATCGAACAAAATTGCCATTTAAAAATATCGATTCAAAGAATGGAAATATATTGAGCTATTATTGCTAAGCTATGATATGTCTTAATCCTATAATTCCTTAGCAAACTGCAAAAGATGTAGCTTATTTTTAGTTTAAGGAAATAGTTTCTTGAATTATATACATAAATATGTAAAATAAAATGTATGTTGCTTCTCCAATTTGTATGTGAAGAGAATGAAATAAAGCTTAGAATAATAATAGTGATAGTTATAGTCCAAATATTTCTCTAGATTTTAATTCACAATTAAGTTATAGTCCAAATATTGCTCTAGATATTAATTCGCAATTAATATTCAGATCCAGAGCCATGTCATCAGTAACCCCTTTCTGGCCGAATGAGTTATTAAATTCCAAAGCCATTGGAAATATTTGATATATATACATATACACCTCTAATTAAACCCAAAATAAATCAAAAGAAAACCCCCGGGGAAGGAAAGACCACCTTTCAATTATTCCTAATCAGCTCTCATTGAGTCTCCGTTGACACGCGTTCATCTCGAGCAGATGCGTAAGTGTTGAGCCCCCAAGACACCTCAAGATAGATCCAATCTCCGATGAGGAATGGGCCACAAATCAAACGCTAACGGGGGAGGCACAAAAATAACATGTAAATGATTCAAACGCTTTATTATCACGCTGGGCATGGGCCAGAGCTTAGTTAATGGCACTCCAACTCCAAAAACGCTCCAAAGAACCGCGGGGTGTGCCGCGGATCGTGAACCCAAACGGACCACACGCAGGCGTAGGCGATCCAGCAAATATATTCTGAGATTCAGAGATGAGGGGAACCGGCGGCGCTCTGGGGAAAGGGTCAAAGAAAAGCCACCTATGTCTATAGAGACATATTTTCTAGGTGACAAACTTATTATGAGAGACCCCAAGAAGAGACCTACAAGATCGGGAACGAAGTGAGACGCTATCAGCATCAGATAAGCGCGACTAACGAGCGCCCCGAAGTGTCGAGCAGTCAATTTACGGACCCAAAACAAAGGCGATCGATCGATCCCCTGACCACGAACAGGTTCACTTTCGGAGACCACCAAGCGATCCGCTGGGCATTGGGTTAGAAATAGGGTAGAGTGTGCAACCTGCTGACTTCCAAGTACACATAAAAAACGCTGCGACTCAAATCGATTCGAACAAATTTATGGCTAATTGCAGAGCGAGTCTCGATCTCTCTCTAATAACTCCCACACATCTCACCTGAGATTTGGTTCCTCCAGTTAGTCTAGCAGCTCCGTGCTGAGTCATGCGACATAATTTGAGGTTGAACTGGCGCTCGAATTACGATTCTGGCTTGGATTACCAGGGGCTAACGGTACAGGCCCTGTAAACTGGGCCCAAAGAGTTATGTGCTTCACATGGCGCCCGTAAAATCCAACAAAACGATTCAGTTGATTGGCGGAACACCAAGGGACACACGCCGTTTAGGCCGCAATTAAGATTGGATTTTAGTTTCCTTAAACGATGCTTAAGCTTCAGCGATTAACTCGCACTTAAAGGGGTCACTTAAAGTGTCCCTTACTTTAGTTTTAAACAGGTAATGGAAGGTTTTTCAATTGAGAATGGGATTATGACTCAGAAGAGAGGTATTTGTAGGAAATGTGTGGGTTGAACTTAGATAAATAAGTAGTACTTGGACAATGGAAAATATAATGTAAACTGAATGGTAAACAAGTCGGATTTAGCTAACTAATATAGTTTCAATTATCGAATAAAAATCATAATGTTAACAATATATTCCACTTGCTTTTAAAGTTTATTCTGCTTAGGAACTAAAATAAATAAATATTTCATTTATTTTTTAAGCTCTACTTACCCTTGCATATCAAATTAGTTGGTGAAGGAGTCATTTCCGACCCCATAAATCATATATATTATGGATCAGCATCAAAATCCTAGTCGAGCTTGCCATGTCCGGCTGAAAAAAAATTTCAAAATTTTTTTTAATATTTTCAAAAAAAGATAAGGGGTTAAACCGACTAAAATCTTGATTTTTTAACATTTTAAATTGAGTATGCAGTTTGATTGCTCTTATAAAAACTAGCATAGGGAAGGTTTCCGATTGGAAATGTATTGAATTTTTGGCTAAGTTATGACTTTTTTAAAATTGGATTTATAGATAAAATTGTCATATAAAATATATTTAAATATTGACTCTAAGAATGGTATTATAATTATATTCAGAAGCTTGAAACACAGTGAAGGAGTCATTTCCGACCCTATAAATCATATATATTCTTGATCAGCATTAAAAGCTGAATCAATCTAGCCATGTCCGGTTAAAAATTAATTTTTTTTAAATTTTTAAAATTTTTATAAGGGGTTAAAATTGTCAAAGAAAAAATGGCAAAATATTCAATTTCTTAAAATGTTAAATTGAGCTTGCAGATTTGTTAATCTAATAAAAACTAACATAGGAAAACTTTCCGATATGAAATTAATTAATTTTTGGCTTAATTATCGAATTTTAAAATTTTGATTTGTCCAGAAAAATCTTATTAAGTACAGAAACAGAGACTTTTAGGTACTTCTATTATCCTAATAAGAAAATTTATATTATAATCTTAAAAAAATAATTCACAAATGTTCATTCAAACTAAACAAATAAATAATTCCCTACAGAAATGGATACACCTTCAAGTCACAGCAACTTCTCACACAGCAGCCCGATCACTCTCAGCTCGCCCAATACGCCCAGCTCCAGAGCCTGGCTCCCAATCCCGCTCACAATCCCAATCCTGGCCAGCCAGTGGCAGGCGGTGGAGGCTCCTCAATGACCATGCCGGCATTGTCATCGTCTTCATCGTCCGCGGGCAAGAGCAAGCGGGAATGGGATATCAACGATGCCATCGTGCCACATGTCCCAGACCAGGAATTCGACGAGTTCAACGAGTGGAGCGATGGCCATGTCCGACACATCTACTCCCTGCACAACGAGGAGGCCAAGAAGCACATCTCCGGCTGGGCGATGCGCAACACGAACAATCACAACGTGAACATCCTGAAGAAGAGCTGCCTGGGCGTCCTGGTCTGCTCGCAGCACTGCACACTGCCCAATGGGTCCAAGATCAACCTTCGACCGGCGATCTGTGACAAGGCACGCCGGAAGCAGGAGGGCAAAGCCTGTCCCAACAAGAGCTGCCGCGGCGGCCGGCTGGAGATCAAGCCATGTCGCGGACACTGCGGTTATCCGGTGACCCATTTCTGGCGGCACTCGGGCAATGCCATCTTCTTTCAGGCCAAGGGAGCCCATGACCATCTGCGTCCGGATCCCAAGAACTCCACCGTGTCCAAGAGAGCCTTTGGGCGAGCTCCTCTAACAGGGAAATCGAGCAGTGGAGGTTTGGGCAAGAAGTCCGTGATTGCAGGTCTGGTCAAGCAGGTGAAGGTGAGTTTTTAGTTAGGAGATTCTGTTTACAAAATAACTTAACATTTTTTATATTTTCTACTAGCAGCAACAGAGTCTGATGGGCAAGGTCCTTAAACGTCCTGTGGCCAACAATCCTTTGAGCCACACTGGCTTGGATATATATCAGTATAATGGTGAGGCAATTAAGTTACAAATTCATCTTGAAAATGGGAAAAATATTAAATTCTCCCCCTTTTCCAGCCTGTGGCAAGTGCACCAGCTACAGCCACTGCACCTGCAGCTACCTGGAGGAAGGCACTTCGGCGAGGAGCCACCAGTTGACCCAATCCTCAAGCTATGCTGGCAATTCGTGGCCCCTGAGTGGATCTGATTCAACGGCGCCATGCGAGACTGCTGCCAATGTGTTTACGGTGAATCATCAGCACATTACGTACAACTATCCCATCTACCATGCCACTCCAACGGCGGCCACAGCGGCGCCCAGTAAGTCACCCAGTCTGCCGTACACCTGCAGCATCTCGGAGCTGGCCGCCTATCAGCAAGGCTCATCCTCCGGAGGCAGCGGCTATGCGATGAGCGCTCCCCTCCACGGACACACTCAGTGTCAGGCGCTCTCCTACGAGTCCAGTCCACAGCTGGCCACCCCGGAGCCGGAGTTCATCAACTACTCGCAGATCAAGCATTTGGGCAGCGGCGGCGGCGGCGGCGGCGGCGGGCAGGAGGAGATCGGCTGCAAGGGAGAGCCGGGAGCGGGTCTTCCGCCGCCCACCATCAAGTACAATGCCACCGTGGAGACGCAGCCCTATGTGGAGGAAAACTACGACTATTATTACAGTCCCAAAACGGAGTACGAGATGCAGCAGCATCAGCCGCATTCACATCCACAGCAGCAGCACCAGCAATTCGCCGGGAATCCCTCGATGGGGCACCATTACTACGAGAGTGGAAGTGGATACAACGGCGTCAGTTACTTCGACACGGGGACCACCACGGCACCGGTGGTAAATGGCGGAAGCGGAAACAACCTGGAGACCGGATATGGCAGCTACTACGATCACTACTCCAGCTACGAGCAGCAAATGGCCGTCGCCGGCAGCTTTGCGACCTCATCCTCGGTTGCCGGAGCCAGTGTCCCGGCAGTTATCCCGCCCCCAGGCCACCCACCGCCTCCGCCGCCGCCACCGCCCACGCTCACATATCACCATCATCATCATCATCACTTGCACCACGCATCAGCGGCCACCACGGCGCTAACACCATCAATAACGCATTGAATAGTACTTAACAATTCCAGAGGACGATCTCCGGAGGATAACTCATGGGCGAGCTAGCATTAAGATTAGTTGGGAAATTTAATTTCTAAGTTTTCATCTGTACGCGTAGTGTTACATGGTTATCTCATTGTTTTTCCGGCAAAATAAATTATGAAAATATGTTGATTTGTAAAGGGAGTTTCTTTTTTTAATGGAAATTCTAGATAAAATTAGGGATCAAGTTTTTCCCTATATTATCATGAAAATTTAAAATTGTTCACGAATACATTGCATACTTTTTGGCGAATGTTAAAATTTTCAGCCTTAAGATCATAGGCCTGATTTAAATTTCCCGCCAGAGTCGTAAAAGTTCTTGGGCCGCGCCCTCTAGAGTTTGCGCATGGAACCAACTCCGAGAAAAAAAAACATTCTTAGTGAGAGAGTGAAAAGTAAATAAACATTTTTTTACAAGAAACATAATAAGTAATTCTACTATTTATAAAAATAATAGTTCGCATAACCTTTTTTTAGAATCCTTGAACTATGCTCTCTGGACGAGATCAATCTTTTAATTATTTTATCTACATTTTACATTCCAATTGGGAATTTGACGATCTGTCTGTAAAATGTGTAAAAGTAAAGTTTTTAAAAGAGCGCATACTCGATGGTCGAAAAAACATCGATTATATGGAAAATTATAAATACATATCGATGTTTTCATCACCGAAAATCTATAAAAGCAACCCGCAGGCACGCTGGCCATTAAAAAATAAAAAGTTCCAAGCTGCGCACAGCCGAGTGCTAATTAAGTAACTTTTGTACATTTCTAACGCTTTCGAAGCCGCCGTCAACATGGTGTACCAGGTGAAAGACAAGGTGAGTCACATCTGCCGGATCCGGATCTCTACGCGCTTGGGCCTTTCCCCGCCGCGTCATCTGCAGTTGGGTAACCCGAAGACCCCCGCAACCCCGTTAGATGGGTTTTGCCTTTAAGATTTCGGCCTGGGGCACGGAAAATATGGCATTGGAATAGCAATTGACATTTCAATTTCCACGCTTTTCGCTTCCCTGCCCCCACGCGCGGACTTACGGCGAACGCTGAGAAACAGGCGAGAAAGCGGAGAAGAGAATAGTTCGAACTGCGCCATGATATCATCTCTTATGGACCGACCGGCGACGGAAATTTCGAATTTCCAAATTCGCTCGAATCAGTAATGTAGCCGCCATGAGTTAGCAATTCATTATCGCGGCCTGGTCTGGGTTTGTTGGTTAGGAATATGAAATAGTTGCTACAATACAGGGTGTACTCAGCGTTCCAAAGTTGCGCGCGTTATACGAACAGCGGTTCAAAGGGGAGGCCAGATAAGCAGAGACGTAGGGAAGGGGCAAAGTCGGTGTGAGAAAGGGGTTTTAAGGGGGCGAGAAACCGGTCGGGCGCTCGGTCAGTCGGTCGTCGCATAAATACAAATATTACGTCAGAGCAACTGCGAGTAAATATACCTTGGAAAGCATTTTCTGATAATTCAATTTCATAATATACATAAAGGCGTCGCTCTCAAACATTGCCCCTTGTGGTCTAAATTTATACCGCAAAATACACAAAAATAAATAAATAAAAAGAGACAGCTTATCAGAAACCACTTGAAATTACCAGAACAATCGGGGCAAACAAATCAAAGTCTAGTTATTTATTCAGCAATGAGTCAATCAAATATTTCACAAGGTTTTTAATAGTAAAAGTATTTATGAAATACACTGACAATTGTTTGAATATTGAATAATATTTAAAGGGAAAACCGGTTTAGAGTGCACATTAAGAAATTTTAAACTATATATGTATATAGAATAAGAAATCAAGATAATATCTATCTTTTATATAAAGAAATGACCCACACAGCATTACAAATTCTATTTTGATTTCTTATTCCAAACCTTGTTAAAGTGAAATCATTGCCTTTTGACTTAAAAATTCGTATAATTTAATTCCATGAATTAATAAAATCCACATTCCTAGCAATTTCTTTGTCACATTCTACTTTGAGTCATGAGAAACCATCAGTCGATGATCAATGGTAATAGACCATGAATCAGCCAACAGAATAAGGTAATCTTAATCATCCCAAGTCGGAAATCTTTCCACTGGAAGTAAAATGATCTAAGCCAACCAAAAATAATTTAATTGAAAAGAAACAAAAAGCTGTATTAAGTTGGCAAGTGAATTATTTATGCAAATTCCAGCAAACCGGTCAGTTTCCCCTCCCCCGTTCCACGGGGGAGACGGCAACAATTTCATTAGAGCCATTTCTTTGCCTGTTTTCTGTTCTGCGATTGCCATCGCCCGCAATTAATTAAAGGTCATTGGGAAAACGTGACATGAGCGAGGCGGGGCCAGGAATCGCCCCAGCAACACCACACCACACCCTTTGGCATACACATATAATTTCCGAAACTCTTGAAATATTGATTTGTGGCTGGTCACTTGGCCAAATACAGAAATTGAAATGGAATATACAAATACACACGAGAGTTGGCAAGAACAAATATTGAACCCGTCAATAGGTGATTACTGGATCTGATTACAACTAGGCAACTTTGGGGAGGATGCCTGACAACAATGTGGCTGCCTTATCGCGCACCTGACAGCGATAATGATGGGGTCTCCCCCACATCCACAGTTGGATCAATGTATGATAACCCCAAATCGCTCGATTCGTAATTATACTTGGTCCTTTTCAAGGAACTGAGAGCGTATTTGGGTCATTGGGAAATGGGGAAAAATCAATATTATATCTCTATTTATAATTTACATTTTCCCTTTGCAGGATGATCTTCAGAGCCAGCTGACCAAGTCTACCGGCAAACTGGTGGTGCTGGATTTCTTCGCCACCTGGTGCGGACCCTGCAAGCAGATCTCGCCCAAGCTGGCTGATCTGGCCACGCAGTACGCCGAGAGCGTTGTCGTCCTCAAGGTGGGTTTTCAAACTTAAAAGTCTGTAAAAGCATAGGTAGATTAACAAGCTCTCTTCCCCAAACAGGTCGATGTGGATGAATGCGAAGACATCGCCATGGAATACAACATCTCCAGCATGCCCACCTTCGTGTTCATTAAGAACGGCGTTAAGGTTGAGGAGTTCGCCGGCGCCAATGCCACGCGAGTGGAGGATGTCATCAAGGCCAACATCTAAGCGCCTAGACGTCGTCGGACAGCCCACTACTGATCCACCTATGAGTTTTCTTCATAAACATTTAGTTAATTATTCCATAAGTGCAGGGACTGCTCTTTCCACAAAAAGAAAAGACCGCTTCCGCTACTCCTCGGCTCGGTGTCACTCGAGGCGATGCTGCAGTGCAGCTCGTGAGTGAGCGGACGTGGCGGAAGCAAATGGAAGCAGCGCAAAAGTGAGATACTAAGTGGCTTTTAATTGTAATATTTGCTTAAACAACAAAAGACACGAGAAAACACACACTAAGATTGTTCATTTTTGTATTGGAACCAATTAAACAAACGCAATTGTCCGAGAGTAAACTCTAAAAAATAAATGTAACACGTTCACCGTTTTGTATTGGATCTGCTTGGCCTAGAATTTCTAAAGGGGATCGGGATAAGGGTGTTGTTGGATGGAGGAAGCTCTAAGCTTAGTAGTAGAAATGGAAGCCAAGTCAAATATTGTAATCGTAATCATCCAGACAAAGCCCGTTATGATTAAGTAATAACGATTAAAATCGAGTCCCTGGCTAGATTAGATAAGATATGGCGGCAGCGTGTTCGACACTCATTAGGCAAATGAAGAGGGTGCTCCAAAAATGTTAGTTCCGGAGTAAAATCTATTCTTTATTAAATGTTAAATTATGCTGACTTGAGATTTTCTCCTGTTTTTCATAATTTTATTTATTTATTAATCTAATAAAATTATACAAGATTTATTTGATATTTTTAATTTTATAGTCCGGATTAGATTTATATATTTCTTTAATTTTCTTCGTTAAATTTAAATATTTTTCAGTTGAATTTGCCAGAAGGAATATTACTATTCTAGAAAAAATGTGCAATTAATTCTTATTTCGGAATGAAAAACAAACTTATTGTATAATTTTATTTAAGGTTTTTAATTTATAAGCCAGTTAAGTAGGTAATTGTAGATAACTTTGATCAGTAAGTATCAATGAACATTAAGTAACTATGATCAGTAATTAACTATGACCAGTAAGTAAGTAGGATCAGAAATTAACTAAGACCAGTAAGTATCAATAAACAGTGAGTAACTTTCACCCGTAAGTAGCTATGACCAGTAAGTAACTATGATTATGATTTGAACACTAATAAACAATGACTTGCAACTTTTGTAACACAACACATTTCTGAGACTCGGCTGGCAGGAGACACTTCGTTCCGGGGATGTTTGAACCAGTTGGGAATCATAAGTTCACATGTACGAGATGTATTTTGGAACAAATTTAAGCTATTTGAATGAAACTATGGAGTTATTCTTCTATATAATTTTACTAGTATATAAATCGGAGCATGGCGAATCAGTGGACTATATGTATATACATATATATGCTGCCATAGGAACAATCGGATGATTTATAGAACTATGACCAGTAAGTAACTATGATCAGTAAGTAATTCTGAACATTAAGTATCTATGAACGTTAAGTAACTCTGAACAGTAAGTAACTAAGATCAGTGATTAACTATTCTTAGTAAGTAACTATGATAAGTATCTATTCTTATTAAGTAACTGTGATCACTAAGTATCTATGACCAGTAAGGATGGATGATCAGTTACTAACTTTCAACACTAATAAACAATGACTTGCAACTATTCAACACAACACTTTACTGGGACATGGCCGGCAAGAGACACTTCGTTCCGGGGACGTTAGAACAAATTGGGAATCATAAGTTTACATGTACGAGATGTATTTTGAAACAAATTTAAGCTATTTGAATGAAACTATGGAGTTATTCTTCTATATAATTTTACTAGTATATAAATCGGAGCATGGCGAATCGGTGGACTATATATATACATATATATAGCTTTCATAGGAACGATCGGAAAATGTTAGGAACAAATTGTTATAACTTTTCCATTTTTCTACAGTTATTCATCAAATTTAATATATAGCCATAATATATTAATATAGAATTTTGTGTTCAATCTTATGAAAATCGGACTACTATGTATATCATATAGCTGCCATACAAACGATCGATAAAAATAAAGAAAAATGAAAAACGGTGAATGTAAAACAGTATAAATAAAATGTATAGGTTAATGAAATGAAAGCACGTATTACCTTATTGTTTTTTGAAAAATAAAATTTAAACCAGTTTTTTAACATTTTTTATTTATAAGAAAATTATTTACTCTTTATGCTGTAAATTTTATTCCTTTAATTTAAATATCTTTTAGTTGGATTTGCCAGGAGGAATCTTTCTTTTCCAGAAAGAAATCGCAATTAATTCTTTTTTTGGAATAAAAGTCCAAAGTTATTGTATAATTTTATTTAAGGTTTTTAATTTATAAGCAAGTGAATAATTTTGTTGTGCTTTCTTCTAATTTTTTACTTAGATTTACTATTACGTCAAAGATTTAGCAACGTTTTTTGAATACGATTTTGTTTAGCGAAGTTCTCCACCAATCCATTTATCAAGTATCTCAACCAATCCACGCTTTCAGCTGTTTTATGCCTTTTTTTGTGCTTGATATACAAGGTATTTCTCGAAATTCGTAAGACAATCACACTGTAAAAATTCGCCGAGAAAACAACAACAGACAGCTCCCGTTCAAATCGACAACAAAAACTATAATAAAAAAAAAATAAGCGGGCCGAAGTGGGTGCGCGCGCGGGTCGAGGGGAGGCAACGGTCAGAAATAAGCAATATTGTGCTGTGATTTTTGTGAGTGCGGCGTCTTTGCGTGTTTTGTGTGCTTCCGATTCCGAACTCGCGATTGTGGTTGTGACATTTCGGGTGGCTTTTTTATAGCAACAAGCAAGAGCGACGGCGGCGGCAGAGAACGTCGAGTGCAGAAATGTCGAGGGAATTTGCATAATTTCGGGTCGGAGCAACTATATAAATTGTATAATAAGCGAAACGTGTTTGTTTGCCAAGAGAAGAGGCAGGAAGTGGACCCGGAGGACAGGGAGGCTGGCCTTGAGCCCAGATCGACACCAATGGCCGCCGGGGGATGCAGCAAGGATTCCACCTCGACCATCGAATCCACCACCCCAGCTGATGCCCGAGGTTCCAACCATAGCAACAACGAAAGCAGAAACAACCACATCCTTATCCGCATCTGCAGCCGCAGCCGCATCCCAGCATAATGTCAAGTGCCCACTACCAGGCACTCGAGCCACAGACTTCCGACGAGGATAACGAGGACATCGAGCAGCGGCGGCCGAAGCAGCAGCACCTCCATCATCATTACCACCTGCGCAACCACAGCGGCTCCACCACGACAGCCTGCTCCTTGGCCACACCGGTCATGGCCCGGAAGGGGCGTCGTCGCTGCCTGCTGCCCCTGGTGGGCGGGGTGCTGTTCTTCATAGCCTTTTGCTACCTCACCCTCAGCGTCGACACGCGCCTCGCCCTGGGACTGGGCGGTGGCTCCGATGACTCGGACGACGAGGGATCCCACAACGACTTAGGTAAGCGGATGACTAAGCCTAGTCCGACAGCGGAGTTGCATTTGGAAGAGAAGTCGGTCCTTGGGATGCCGTGGTCCTCCGAGATGCAGTTTCCCTCGGAGCAGAAGGTGCCCCCAGAGAATAAGTTGGCCTCAGAGAAGGAGCTTTACTCGGAGGAAGAGTTCGAGAAAGAGATGTCCCTTGACAACGATATGTTCTTAGATATGTTCTCCGAAAACGATTTGCCTTCGGAGAACGAGTTTTCTTCAGAGGATGAGTTTCCTTCAGCTTTGTTCTTAGAGAAAGATTCGCCTCCGGAGAACGCTTTGCCCTTAGAGAGGCCCCAGAACATGCCCCACGACGAATTAAACAATACAAGACTTTCAAGATTCAAGAAAAAAAGAAAAATGTTCCCAGAGATATGTAAGTCAAGCTGCGGTATCTGATGCCCACCCTGATTCTATCCTGATTCCAAACTGACCCAACAGCTGCGCCAAGTCGCGGAAGCGCAGTTAAGTGCAATCTCACGACCATTGCTGGCCGAAAAGTGAGTTCGCCATGGTGCCACCACTTTCACTTTCCCTCTTGGCTCACTGCCAATCAAAGCTAGCCGCACTCTACACTTTGGCAAGGCATATCAGTGCACTCGGTTGAGAGTATTTACTGCCTTTATTGCCTTCTGTTTTTGGCGAAACAAACTAAACTAAGCCTTATTAAATTTGTTATTGACAAAAAGTAATAATAAACACGTGCTTAGTTTAGCCTTACCTTATTTTAAAGTACATTTTCCCATTCTTCTAATAGCCGTCCACATCTGTTTTCTGTTATAAACCACAAATGCATAATTAATTGGTTTTTAAAAGCTGTTTTGAAATCCCCAAAATCCGCCTCTTCACCTGAATCACCGATAAGTAGTTGACGTTGGTAATTAGCGCATGTAACTCGTCGGCTTTCAGATGTGACGACTCCTGCCACCGGTTAGCCGTTTGGTTTTTTTATTATTTAACCGTAATTGGATCTATTTGGTAACTATTGTCTTCGCCAAACACGATATATAGTTGGATGTACTGCCACTAGACATCGGACAGCGAGCCACCCACCCACCCTTGCCCAATGGCAATTACATCGCTCCGCTTGTCGGTCGGTCGTTTTTTATATATATACATATATATATATATAGGCATCAGCGAAAGCCGGGACAAGGTCACATTTTCCAGTTTACTTGACGTTTTCACCCGGGTGGCTAGCCCTGCCTAGGGAATACCCTATTGAATTTGTTGTATTAAATTAATAGAGTTAGCTCATGAAATGTGCTATAATTACATGTTGTGTAGAATTTTAAAATTCAATTGCTGTCATTGGTTAATATTATAATTTAAATTAATTAATGGTTTAGAGATTATAGTTTTGTATAACTTTTGAAGTCTAAAAGTTACTGCTCCGATTGCAAAGCATAATTTATTATCTAACTAAACCCGATAGTGTATTTTCGTAGACGTCTTCCTTCGGCTCTAAATGGCTTATTTATGGGCTAATTCCGCAATTTGCTTTCTAGGGGAATGAGAGCTAGATTCGCAAAAGGAGAACAATGTGTTTATATCGATTCATTTACGCTGCGAATTCATTGCCAATCATCCTCTTCGATGGCTGTTCAAGTTCAAAGCAAATGCAAATGAGTTCAATGAGATTATCTTGCTTGTTTTTATGGTTAGGAAAACAGAAACCACTCTGTTTACTTTTCAGTCATGCGATTCTCAGTTAAAGCGAGCGTTTCCCTGAATCACAATTGAGTGACACCAATTGCCTAATTGCATCTCTGAAGTCTAGACTCTAGATTTAGCATTTCTCAGCAAAACGTTAATTGGCTTTTAGCAGTTTTCTGACAAGAGCACAGATGGCCCCCCGTTTTGAGGGTATAACTAATACATATGAGTTGTATGCCCAGAATCTTATCAACATCTTGTGTGCGAGCAACGTCTGGCATTCGACATTGTTGCCTCACCCGGTTCGGGTAAGAATATATTTATAATTCGCCTAGAATTCGAGCCTATTTTAGTATCATTTAAAGTGCTCGTGTCGAGTACTTCGTCATGCCCCGCTCTCTGATACCTCTACTGGTGGGGTATTGTTAATGGAATTCGGTGGGTCTGCCTCCTGCACATTTCACTATGCACTTTGGACACGCAGCCGTGAAACCAAATTGCCCTCAAATTGTCTGTGCAAATATTTACAAATTGCTAACTGCACTGCCACCTGCCTTCTTTTATTCGAGAGATACATTCAGCAAGTGCAAGTTCAGCAAAATTTACAACGCCTGAGGAATACATTCGAGTTTCCGCTGCTTAAACGGTAGCATTATGGTTATCCATTTTCAAACACATTTTTTGGCTAAGAAGGTCGCTGACTTCTTGATTAGAGATAAGACCAAAGAGTGGAGTAGATCAGTTATACAATTTCTCAAGCTATTTATTTCGCATATTAAAAGAAAAACAGAAACACGCCATTATCAATTTGGAGATACTATTCAGCGTTATTACTCATCAAAGCTTCTGGTTTCGAATGTTTTCAGAAAGTTTTAGGTTTCCGTATGCTCAACTGTATTAAGTTTATCGTTTCATAATTATCAGTGCGCCTTACTGTAATAAATCACAATTTAAATGGTATCAGTATTTTAAGGCAGGAAACATAAATACTTTTCTTATTGAATCACAATAGTGAAGAGTTGTTACGACTTGACCCAAGCCCCCTTCATTTATTTGAAAATATTTATAATATAGACAATTTACGACAATACACAACAGTTTTTAATTAAGTGTTTACTTAATTTCAGTCTGTATATACTACACTTTACAAAGATAAGTACTGTCCCAAATAAAATCTCATTACTTCAAGACTTTTATTATACCCTTGCAGGTTATTATAACTACAGTAAAATTTTGGTAACACAGTTAAGGAAGCATTTCCGACCCTATAAATCATATATATTCTTGATCGACAGGATCGACAGCCGAATTGGTCTAGCTATGTCCGGCAAAAATAAAATTTTTCCGAAATTTGTTCATTTTTTTTCAAAAAAAGATAAGGGGTTAAAATTGTGAAATATTTGGCAAAAAAATTAATTTTATAAAATTTTAAATTGAGTATGCAGATTTATTATACTGATAAAAACTAACACAGAACAGTTTTCCGAATCGAAATTATTGCATTTTTGTCTTAGTTATGAGTTTTTTAAACTTTGATTTCTGACATAAAATTGTCATATGAAATATCGACAAATATCGATATAGGAATATTTTAGGCTAAGTTATGATTAGCTTTGATCATGTAATTCGATTGCAAACTCCAAGGCCTTAAATGCTTCTGCCTTGCGAACTTAGTTCCCTTTTCTGTTTAATAAATTATTTTAGTTCTTAAATGAAGACTATTTCCCTGAACCTCCTTTTTAGCCAATCGTTCCGACACCAGTGAAATGCTGAATGAAACCGATAAGCGGCAAAGCAAATAACAATTTGTGACTAACGTACGGTCGTAGATCAGGTGTCCGGGGAATTCTCAATAGCCCGTAATCGGGGAGCGAGCGCTGGCCTCACCATCATCATCATCATCATCATCATCATCATCATCATCATTCAGATATAGGTCATAATTAACCGGAATGTACGTGAGCGAGTGATTATGCCCAGATTGCTGTCGCACACCCCATCGATAAGTGTGTGGTTTATCATTAACCAGAAAGTGGTGGTGGTAGTGATGCCTCCATCACCAGACGTACACGAAGTACTCCGCCAGTACACTGGGGGAGCCCCGCTATCAGTGTCTGTGCCGATTGGGGAAAGGGGCAGGGAAACGAATACGTAACTATTCGTCATTCGGAAATGCCCCCAAACCGCTATATTCTTTCAATTCGATTGATCGAGTCCGCCTTTGTGACATTTTGGTTTCCCTTTGCTTGGTCAATATTTAATCACAAATATTGGGGGGATACTTGGGCCATCCCTGCCTGCCCCTTTGTCCGTTTTGGGTTATCTACGGTCTGCATCGGAGCACGACCTCCTCCTCTAACATGCCTTCCCCAAGTCGCGTGCGTTACGCTTTTTATTCCGGATTAATGGACAGGTGCTCTAATGGCATCGCCACACGCAGCCGATCAAAACACATTAACGCTTTGATGGCAGGCGTAAGATTCCCAACACGGATTAACCCATTAAGTAATTAGCCGGTCTATCTCGGTACCTTGGTATCATCTTTTTCTGATCTCTCAAATGTATGCATAAAACTTCCACATAACCGATTTCTTGAAAGCCTGGTGAGTTTGTTTGGGAAGTGACTGGGCATTTTATCTTCGACTTTAAATGATTCGTACACAAAGTATCTGAGAGACACCGATTAGCACCTCTTGAGATGTGGAGAGATTATTTGCCATTGCTTGAGATACTCATCTGGGCACTGAGGCACGTTTGTAGCCTCTCAAACTGGGGGTCAATGAGTTAAACTACAAGCAGCAGCGAATTTTTGTAGTAATTGTAAATTCTGATTAAATCATGGCAACATGGAGAATTCTAATTGAACCCGTGTCTGACCCCACTAATCACTCACTGTTTCCCATCATTCCCCACAGATAGAAACAATTTCCGGCCACTCAACGAAACCGTGCATATATGCAGCGAAAGCTACGAGGATCGCCGGCTGTTTATGCAGGACAAACCCAATTCGGAATATGGACAGTTGCCGGTGATTTACTTTGTTACCCCCACGTACCCAAGGCGGGAACAGATTCCGGAACTGACGCGTCTGGCGCACACGCTGCTCCATGTCCCACGGTTGCACTGGCTGGTGGCCGATGATCAGCAGAAATGCAACGACTTTGTGGACACGCTGCTCAATCGATTTGGTAAAAACTATAAGCTTGAATAGTAAATTGTATTAATAAGAGATTTTCCCACCTGCAGGCATTCCCTTCACCCACATGGTCAGTCCCATGCCTGCCAAGTTCCGGTATGCAGACCCCGCACCGCGTGGCGTGGCTAATAGAAGAGCTGCCTTGCAATGGCTGCGGCAGCACAACCTCACCAACGGAGTCCTCTATTTTGGGGACGACGACAACACGTATGACCTCCGACTCTTTTCGGAGATCAGGAAGACCCAGAGGGTCTCCATGTTTCCAGTTGGTTTGATTGCCGACTATGCCATCAGCGGGCCAGTAGTGAGAAAGGTGAGTCAAAGGTTTTTCATATAAAATAAGATTTTTATCAATTAAACCACTTAACTCCTTTCCAGGGCAAAGTGGTGGCCTTTCTGGACTCTTGGGTAGCTGGTCGACGTTGGCCGGTGGACATGGCCGGCTTTGCGGTGAGCTTGGAGTATATGGCTCAGTATCCCAATGTAAATATGCCGTATAAGCCCGGCTATGAGGAGGATCTCTTCCTACGGAGCATCAACGTGCGTATGGATGAAATCGAGCCGCGAGGCAAAAATTGCACAGAGATTCTGGTTTGGCATACGCAGACCAAGTCCAAAAAGCTGGGCGTTGTACGCTTGGAGAGCAAATACCTAGACGACCGCTCCAATCTGGGCGCCCTTTTGCGTAACCTAAAGCTAATGGGGGTGGCCAGTATAACAGAGACCGAGGGTGTGTATAAAGAAACATTAATTTCCCTAATTTCGAGAATTTTTGATAATCAATATTGTATTTTCTTTAGTTCGCACTGCACAGATAAGCAAGAATGGCAAGGCGAAGCCGCACTCCATGATACTAAGCTGAGAGCACGGATCCCAGCAACCGAAAACAATCCCAAATAATACTCATAGATGTTTAGAGCTAATTGTATAATATTACAGCAAGAGCCCAATCTCGATTCAACCGCTCTCCCCTGCATGCGTTCTAGTTATCAGTGGTTTTTTCGCACAACACAATATTTTGATTATTATTTATTCTCTGTTCTCGTCATAGTGTTTTAATAATAACGAGTTTCCAGCTATTGTTAATTAGTTGTAGATTAGGTTGTTCGTGATAGCCAGATAGGAAACACAAGACAGGATCAGGACTTATATAAATGTATGTATATCATCATCACTACCAGTAGGTTGTAAAGTAAGTTACGAAAGTTGTTAATTGCTTTTTATATTCTATGTTTTGTATTTTAATTTGCAAAGCAAACTAAAGCTAATAGAACAAGCCCATAGGACGGAGCTTCATTGAATTAGGCAACACACAGACATTAGACTTGACAAATTCGATCTTAGGTTAACATATTTTTTTAATATCGCTGAAACCCAAACGCTTTAGTAATGGGCAAAACAATAATTTATAATGTTCTAGTAAGGGGCTTTTACCGGCTCCACGAATAATCAGTTACTCAATCAAAGCGATCATAAGCCATTATGTGAACAAATAAATACTAGTTTTATAAAGCTGTCTCCAAAAGAATTAACTACTTTTATTCGTTCAACTGAAAGTTGTGCCATGAAAAAACTTCTCCATTGGGATGTACTTTTAAGGAGGTGAGTTAAGTGTTTGGAATATGAATTGACAATGAAGTATCCAGCTCGGCATCCGTGTCTTCACTTTGTTCGAGAAGTGTCAACATTGTGACGAGAACGGAATGGCACGAAATAGCAAACAATACTTTTCAATTAACTTGGCGCCCCTTTTTTTCTCATCCGCATATTTATCCCGGTCCCAGTTTCATCCCAGCTCATTCTTCACTTACCCGTAGTTCACTTTGAATGCCCGAAAGCATTTCGTGCTGGCTGCAAAAGTCGAACAGCTAAGAAAAAGTTGCAACTTCCAGCTATACATCAGTGGAAACTGGGGTAAAGATGTCCAGGTAATGTGGCAAGAAACCTGATTACCCTGGAATTTAAACAGGAAACAACATAATGATATTACTATGGGAGTTCGCTTGAATTAAGGAACGAATTAATAGTTTACTTTCTTATTTTTATATGGTATCTCATTTAATTAAGAAATATTTATTTTTAAAGCATTATTTTACCTAAAAATCCCTGGTATTAAACCACAGTTGCTTGCTAATCCGATAGAGAAACTTCACTCCAGGCACTCTCCAGATTCCTGTCAAGTTCTGGCAAACATTTGACTACCTTAAGCCAGGGGAATGAGCAAACATATCCCATTCTCTGCCCTCGATTGCAAGATACCACAGTACAGAAGGTGGAGTGCCTGGTGCCAGAGTCATTCCAGCTGGGAATGGCACGGACGTGTTGCATATGCATCTTCTTCATTGCGGAGTTATGAGGCAAAGTTTCCTAACAGGACGAGAAAAAAAAGGAGTTGTGTGCTACGTGTGAATGGAGCAGAGGAGCTCGCAATTGGGGCCAAATAAATAGTCGGTGCTGGGACGGAACTTTTTGTGCGCTTCACCGGAAATTTGTTTGGCAGGAAAATTGCTTTAAAGTGTCACGGGACGACGATGGTTGGCCTCCATTAATACTCGAGTGGCACTCCCTGGGGAGGCACTCCTTTGAGGCAAGTCCGGGACGAGGTGGCAAATCGGAAACAACTTAGCAAAGGGGACGGATGTGGTTGTGTCACCGCCATCACCTCTGGCCGTTATGACCCCGGTCTGGTCCAAACAGCAATGGCCCGCATTAAGCCATTAAAGCTAATTAAACACACAGCCACCCTGGGGGCCATCATGAAACCCACTACTTGCCGCATCCCGGCCAGATTTGACTCAGCCGCCTGGCGTACGCTTTATTAAGCGCAGTCACCCAGCTCCGGCAGCAGCCATCACCCGTAATGAGTGCGGCTGCCAGCAGACAACTTGATGAGGTTGCGATAGATGTTGCAAATGAAGTCGTTGCCAGTGCCGGGAGCAGCCAAAGGAGCGGGAAGCAGGAGCAGGATATCGTGCCTGTTTGCACTCTGCACTCCACTACGCACTTGCGGAAAAGATTAACAAAATGGGAAACTATGTTTAAAGCTGCCATAGGAGAGATCGGCAAATTTTTAGAAAAAATTAAAATTTTTAAAGTTTTTAACATATTTATATCTAATTTGATTCAAAGATATCTTTTATTGTTACAGCATTTATTTTTCAGTTTTATTAAAATCGGAATAATATGTAATATAAGTCTGAGAAACGGTAAATATGAAAAGTATGTACATATGATCATTAATTAACTATGATCAGTAATTAATTATGACCTGTAATTAACAGTAACAGTAAGTAACTTTGATCAGTAAGTAATTATGATCAGTTAGTATCTATGACCAATAAGTATTAATGACCAGGAACTAACTTTGAACACTAATAAACAATGACTTGCAACTTTTGTAAGAACACATTTCTGATACTTGGTCGGCAGGAGACACTTCGTTCCGGGGATGTTAGAACCAGTTGGGAATCATAAGCACAGAGATGTATTTTGGAACAAATTTAAGCTATTTGAATGAAACTATTGAGTTATTCTTTTATATAATTTTACTAGTATATAAATCGGATCATGGCGAATCGGTGGACTATATATATACATATATATAGCTTTCATAGAAACGATTAAAAAATTTTAAGAACAAAACAGATTTTCATCAAATTTGACATAGCCATTTTTTATATTTTTCTTCCGAAGATGGCTAGATCGACTCAGCTGTTGATGCTGATTACGAAATGACTCCTTCACAATGTTTCAAGCTTCTGACTAACATTACAATACCCTGAGTTTTAATTTAAATTAAATTCTTCAAGATACGTTTTTATTTAAAAGTCTTCTGAAATATTTTTCTCACTGCATGAGCCTTGATTTACCAGCAATATTAACAGAAAGCGGACAGCATCAGGACCCCCCTGGTCCTGAGGACGACTCTGGTGCCTCTGGTTTGCTGCAACTTGGGTGTCACTTAACGTCGCCATGAAAAGTGCTGCAATAAGAAAAGATGGAGCAAATCGATGCAAAAGACAGGACACATCGATGGTGTACAGACCCACCTTTTGTTTGCTGATAAAATATTATTTGTCTGATATCTATTATATGATTCGGTACCTATATCCGGCTAAGGCTGCCTCGCTAGAATCCGGATGATTCCGGCCAATGATTAAAGCCTCCTCTGGTCCGCCGTCATCATCTTCAGGATCCGACAGGAGCTCTTCCGGCTCTAGAAATACTTGGACGTCTTCAGCATCCCGCATTTGCTGGATTAGTTGGGAGAACATCCCACCGTTTGGCAGACGCCGCGGAAGAACTTCTACGATCGGTCGCTGATAACCCGATGAACAGGGAGAGATACTACTTTCTCCTAACATATAGCCCCTGGTGGACCAAGGCGATTCATTGGAGTTATTGCCCTCATCGACGGTGTGGGAGTTTATTTCCGAGTGATGGAAACTGTTCTCGCTGTCTGAATCTTCAATTTGGTTGGATTCTGTTTTATTAATACTAGTCTGAGACATGATTAAATCAAGCCAGGTTTTATACTCGAAAAATATTATACAAGCTTGTCGAATGATTGTGAAAATTTAGAAGATGTGTTTCTGTTGACTGGCTTTGAGAAATTGTGATGAGAAAGAATGTGTGGTAGACAGTTAAACCCGGGGCTTCTTTGATATTGGAACTACTTTGCAGAGAATAATGTATCAAAATATTTCTGAAACAACAAATAAAATAATTAACTTTCTAAATTGTAAATCATATCCGCCAACATTTTGTGCTTGCTCTAAATGATTGTTTCAAACACTTAAACCACATTACTATAACTTTTTAAACTCAATGTTTGATGCTTACTCTCAGCGTCTGTCACTTTTGGGTGAATTTATTGCAAGCTCTTCCCGATTTGTCCGGACAAACCAATTACCACAATTTCTAGTCCCCCACCCGAACGCAAATCGAATGTCAATTACCAGGGCAAACCACGACCTCCCGCGCACTTCCACTTCCACTTCCGTTTTGGCCCTCACTGCTGCATGGCTAACAAGTTAATTTCACAATGTTTGCGGCTTGAGTGCGAACAAACAAATTGCGTGGCATTTCCGGCTCCCAAGGGGTTTCGAGTGGCGACAGCAAAGAGACCAACAAATCAATTGGCCAACAGCAACTACACTGAGGGCCAAGGGAGCGGGAAGGGTTAGTGGCCTAAACAACCGCCAATCAAAACACACGGACACATGAACAACTCGCATTGAAATTGACTATTGATTGGCCAAGAACAACAACAGCAACAGCAGCAGAAGTATAGGAACAGGAACAGGAATAGAATCGGCTGGAGTCCTGCAGACTAATGTGTAAATTATTATTACTAATACGACGTGTGGTCAGAGTGGTTGGTCGAGTGGAGTTAATGGGAGTAGCGGGAAAGGTGTGGAGTGCCAGGTGTGGAAAGCTCGTGGCCAGAGGGGAGGAAGAAGGGTATTATTTATATTATAATAAATTATTATTTATGAAATTTACATACAAATTTGTAAGAAACAAACAACATGTAAGTACTAAATATGTATGCAATGAAGACTTTAAAGGGGTTTTATACATATTTCACTTTAAACCACTTAATCTTAATAAATTTGGAAATATTTCATGATTTCTTCCATCTCTTTTGTAGCAATTTTCCCATTAAATTTAAAGGAAAACAGGGACAACCCTTTAAGTCACCCTCGCACACCCGCCCAATAGCCAATTAAAGGCACCCTTCTCCCGCAAACAGGCACGCACACTTGACCAAATGCGCTTACATTTGCATAGGGCTTCTGTATGTGTGTGCCCTGTACTATACGTTAATGCAATAATAAATTTTATTTATACACGCACACACAGAGCATATACACTGGAGAATGCACTCATATATATATATGTATGTGGTACACACAAAAACTAATTACACGCCACAATGATTACATTTTACAGCGCCATCGAGCTCTCTCGTTGAGCTACAACAACAATAACAACATCATCCGGAAGTGTTAAACAACACTACACACACACACACAAACCCCGAAAAATGGGGGGAAAATTTACGGGAAATTCTTCTGCAGAAAAAGGGCTGCTGCGTAGGTGTCTCTCCCTTCGGCCATTTCGGAGTTGTTGTAGTAATAACAACTTTCCACTCAATGAATGACACCTTGGGGGCATGGCGAACACTTCAAGGTACACAGTTTTCCCGGAAAATTATGCTGAAATCATAAGGCAAACTAATGAGAGATGAGCAATGTGGGAAATATTCATATTTCAATGGAAAACAGCATAACCAAAGTTTTGTTTAACTTTAGTTTATAGTTTGTGATGACTCATACTTTGCTGACTTGAATATTAATATTATAAAAATTATGAATCTTATATCCTTCTTTCATATATCTAAGCAGAGAAGCCTGATCTTAAGCTATCTTCATATCACCAAATTAAATCAAGTCTCTGATAAATTTTGTACGTGCAAAAGGCATATTAATAATAATTATTTTATCTGGCAAATACTGTTACTGTTGGGTTGAAAAATCGAAATAATATATTTATATAGCATTGATGAGAGTCGTCCAATTTGAATTTCCGGACAGACCGCAGAGCGAGGCAAGGACTAAAGTGTAGCTTGCTTTTCAGCGCCCTTCTGTGAGCTTCAGGCATTTTCCCCCGCGCATATATTTTAATCACCACAACAATATCATCAACGCAGCAGACAAAAACTTATACTTCGGGTATGCTCGACAATTGATCTACTTGCCCAGAGTCCAGGGATTCCAGTCAATTGGCCAGGTAACTCCCAGTCGGGAGGCAAAATATTATTATTTGTAGTAATTCGAATTCGCATTGAAATGCGATTGCTCTTTTGCTGCACACAAACATCTGACAGTCGCTCACGAGGTTTTATTTTAATTATAACTGCAGGGCAGGACCCAAACAGGACCACAGCCATGTATAATTTAAGAGGAGCGGAAAGGGTCAGAGGATGTTCAGACAGACCGCTGCCTTCACTTGCGTTTTATTGAAATTCATTGAGGCATCATTGAGGCGGCCGCGAGAAAGGGTTATGCACTGTAAATAATACAGAGTGATATATAAAGAGAAAATATGGGAAATATATGCAGTCTAATGGGTCAATTAACAAAGCCACTATAGGAAAAAACGAATTAAATTTAGGATCAAAAATTCCTTTGCTTTAAAACAACTCTTTTTCTGTTTACATGGCAGAACTAAGTTCAAAAACGTGAAATTAAACCATTAAAAGGCTAAATTTCTTTCATTTTGGAATCTTTACCATCTCAATTTGTTTGCTTTCCTTGCCAGCTTGGGGCATCCTTTTGCCAGGCTGGCAATCCTGGCACACATCAATGGTCTGCCTCGAACTGAACTGAACTGGCAAGAAACTGCCTGCTTTTGAGTAATGTGCGAAAATTTTATTTTTAAATTAAAATAAAATGGTTACCCGTTTGACCCCGTCCCGCTGCTAACTCTTGGGCCTGCTGCCAGGCAGCAATTAAAAGCGACCCCGGATCCACTCAGGAGCTCCAAATGCATTTGCATTGGTAATGTTAACGTCGTTTTCGAGAGCCCGGAGAACCAGAGTGCCGGAGTGCCGGAGAACCGGAGAGCCGGAGAGCCGTGGCGGGCCCTGAGCCGGAACCGGCTACGTGGCGGTGGCCAGGGCATTGCGTTGCCAATTTAATTTCAATGGCTAAGAGGAGCGATTGGTTTCGGTGTCAGAAGGTGGAGGAGGCAGCCGAGTTGACCATTGAAATATGGGCAAGACAAATTATTGGTTTTTCTTTGAGTGCGCTCAAAATGGGGCGAACTGTTTAATTAAAATAAAATGGAGTGGAGCGATGCGATGCAATGCGGATGAATGGTCAGCTGCTGCTAATTGCGGCTAACTAAAATGGGAAAACTAAACTAAAATGCAAGATTTAGCAGCCCAGCAGGACGCATTCACCACATTCAAGTATGTTAAAATGTCTAACCAGTATCAATTATTCAGTATCCAGGCGAGATAAATGTTTAAAATTAATTACATTTGCGCTGCCTCGAAATATGTTTAATAACCTCGTCAACGGCTCCACGCCGGAGTGTCAGCACCCCCAACCTCTGATTATGGAGCTTGTTTGCTCATTTATTATGCAACACTTTCATCGCATTACACAAACAATCCCCAGTTAATGCAGTTTAACATATTCGCATACACCCGATTATGCATTAATGAAAATGCCAGCCGCAAATTGTTGAATGCTTAAGCGCCGCAGCCACCAAACAGGCCATTGAATATATATACAAAATTATAAAAATATATATCATTACCCAGGAGAATATCATGTATATATATCGCTGTGGGTGGCTTAGGCATTTTTTTTCGGCACTCCAATGGGACCGGGAATTTTTTAATTTCCGTTTCGATTGCCGCCCGATCTGCCATGTTGCTGGGCCTTGTAACAAAACATCAATTTCCAAATGGCAAAACAGGAAATAAAATGTTCCATTTGGGGTCTGCTTTCTCACTCGCTTGAATATGAAAAAAATGCGTGACAACTGAATCAGTTTGATAGTCAAATAGGAGAGAATTATGAATATGAAAACCGAAGGACTTAGTTTGTCGAAAGCATTGCATACTTTTTGGGGCTTTTTACTGGTAAATATTAAAAATCTCTCTTTTGGGCTAAATTTCAAAGAATTTGTGTGGCATAAAAGTGTGACTCCTAGCTCCAATAAATATTGTAAATATTATCTAGCTAAAACCCAAAGTAACCTGAGCATAAAATGTCCAGGATAAAGTTTATTGTAAGCATTGAATACCTTTTAGTAAAGCATTTAAAATGTTTCTTCTCCTTTTGTATGTTATATGAGAATAAATATTCTAAATATTATTTAAGCTAAGCTTTTGACAATTTAGCCTTTGGGGGGGCTTAGTTTGGACACACAAAACGGCTTTTACTTCTTGACTTTCATGACTATCAAATCGGTAATCCAGCCGAGATCCAAAACCTGACTGGCATCTAATAAATCTTCTTCCCATAACAATGCAGCGGGGAAACGGGGAGGATGAGGTGTGCGGTGTGTGTGGCATTCCCACATGCAAGTGCCGCGCTTTGCACCATTTCCCATTGTTCTCCGAAAACCCAAAACACCCCAGTTGGGCATCCGGTTTCATAGCACCACTCCACATTCACTTTTATGATTATTTTTCATTATCAAAGCAAGCTCTCGGTTAATGCACCAACAATGGCCACGGGTTGGTCCAGTATTCCATGCAACGTCGTGGTCCGTGGTCCGTGTTCGGTGTCCATGTTCCCGTGCCACATGTGGACGAAACGGACGCAAACGTCATGCCCCTTTCTCCGTAAAATAGACAACAAATTGTTGAGCTTGTTTGGTGTTCGGTGGTGTTCTGTTGGGAATTCCCCCATGCAGGCACTGGTTGCGAAAATTAATAAAAGGAAAATATTTAAGCATAGTCTATGAACGAGAGCGGCTATGGAGAGGGACGCATATAATTCCCTGACATTGTCTGCGCCACAACGATATAACGTATACGCACCGTAGACATGCATACCTACATGTTCTCGGTAATTTCGGGCGGGGCACTGTGGGGATTTGTTTTAATTAGTCGGGGGATTAAGTGC